AAATGTTGTTTTCACTGCTCTGGTTCCCAGCTCTTCCATTCCCATTTGGCTTTGGAAAAAACAATGATTTACAACTGTTTTTCAATCTTCCTCTGCACTGTGTGTGTGCATGCACGTGCACGCACATCGTACCTGTAAGCAGATGTCTTCCATCTTCAGTACATTTTTTAGTCCTCCACCCAATATTTCTCTCATCAAATTATAATACTTAGGGATGGATTTTGGTCACCTTTTAACCTCTCCTCCCTGTTCAGAAAGAGTGGGAGGGCTTGCTGTATTCACCCTTCTTGTTTTCTTGCACTCTCCCATTCTTCTGCTAAAAATAACACAGACTGTGCCAGTTTTTCCAGAATGCATTGCTTTCACTTTCCATCCTATTTTGGTTTCCAGTGAAAATGACAAAATCAGAGACAGCTTTCTTGGTTTAAGTGATGCTAGGAAACATCACTCCTCTTGAAGTTGGTTGGAGGATTTTGGGGGACATCATTCCAAAGTAACTTACTGAGGGTCTGCTCTTTTGGAGAACAACAACAACGAAAACAACACTTCATTTATATTCCTCCCTATCTCCTTGAGGTGACTCAGGGCTGATTCCAACATATATATACAGACACTGGCAAACATTCAATGCCTTGAAATAGTGAAACACAAACACACAGACAGAAACAAAGGCAACCCCTTTCATCTCCAGTTCTTCAGCTCTGTGGGAGGTGCTCATCTCAATTTCCAAGCTGAGAAGCCTGCATTGTCTGTAGATGCCTCTTGGGTCATGTGGTTGGCATGATTGTATGGAGCGTTGTTTACCTTCCCCTTGAGGCGGTACCTATTGATCTACTCACATTTGCATGTTTTTAACTGCTAGGTTGGCAGGAGCTGGGGCTAACATCGGGAGCTCACCCCATCCTGTGGATTCGAACTGCCAAGCTTCAGGCCAGCAAGTTCAGCAGCTCAACAGTTTAACCCATTGTGCCACCATGGCCCCTTTCAAATTTTCACTCATCGCCTTTCAATGGAGCATGTGGTACCCTCTCACATTTCACAGATGAAAGCTAGGACACATAGCCAGTAACACTGGAGTGGGGTCAAGATAGCAAACCTTATCAATGAGACAAACTAAGAGAGGCTGCAGCAGTATGCTTTTGCTTGAGTATCCTGGGAAATTCCAGATTTCTTCCCCTCTTTCTCCTCTCTCCCTGTTGAAGCCTTTGAGTGAACATTACTTTGGAACTTTGAATTCAGTTTGAAGCTACTGAAATATGCTGAAGACAAAAGGAGAAAGTGGGATGAGAAAACAGACATTGGGATGTTTTCATAGTAGATGGGAAAAAGTAATAATAATAATAATAATAATAATAATAATAATAATAATAATAACTTTATTTTTATACCCTGCCACCATCTCCCCGAAGGGACTCGGGGCGGCTTACATGGGGGACCAGGTCCAGAGACAACAAAATTTGCCAGCTGAAACATAATTAAAGACATAATAACATATCACAATCCAATTAAACAATCACAAACAACAGGATATAAAAACATAATTAAAATGTATAAAAAGTAAACCTCGACAGCCAGTGACCAGAAATACATTGGATATAATCAGAATTACCGAGGGCTGGGCATGGGCTTGTGCAAATAACAGACTATAGGGCCGGGGCTGGGGTCAAGTGCTGAGTACAATTTATCTGTCAATAAGGGCTGGGCATTCATGAACAGGGGCCTAACCGTCATCAAATGCACACTGGAACATCCAGGTTTTGAGGTCCCTGCGGAAGGCAGACAGAGTCGGGACTAGCCTAATCTCCCTGAGGAGGGAGTTCCAGAGCTGGGGGGCCACCACCAAGTAGGACCAAAGATTAATCAGCACTGTACTTGCAGTATTGGGATGGTTGGAAAGTATGGCATGAAAGAGAAGCCAGGTAGCTAGCCAGACTTAATAAAACCAAGAAATGTTTCCTCATGATCTGTTTTTTTCAGAGATCTTAAAGGACAGGTTGATGCAATTAATGGGGCTAAAGCTATGTTTGCATCAAGGATCTTATCAAGGCACGCTAAAAAAAGCAAACAAACATGATAAACTTCTGAGATAATTTAAAGAACTTTAACAGTCTGGATTGGATATGGGGGCTGCCATATCTAATGTTGCTCAATGTTAAAAAAGCATCTGTTGATAGAAGATTATTAACGCACCAGGAAGGTGGGGACTTCCTCTACCCTTGACCCTGATAGGCTCTTGTTGTTTTATTTGAAATGAGTTGTGTATGGAGACACTGAAAATGTAATTTTCCAATGACAGATGGGTGGCATAGTCTGTGCTGCCAGTAGGACATTGGGCTACCTGTGGTGAGTGTGTGGGCACATTGGCCAGTATGGACAGGCAGTGTTAGGTATGTAGGTGGTGACACAAAAATGCACGTAAAGTAGCTTAATTCATAACCAGCGGGCTTTGATATTACAAACACGGAAGCAGTTTCCTGAGTCATAACCACAAACAAATGATGAATATATGATCCACATAGTAATTGTGTGTAATTTAATAAGTAGACAGGAAAGTGAAGGCTCCAGAGGTAAAAGTAGGAACAGGTTCATCCCTTTCACACATTGCTCACATGAAAATGTATCATGCGATAACCATGTTGCCCTTCCATCTAGCTTCACATATTCTGGCTAGCCTTACCTCAAAACTGGGGAACAGTCTCTCTTTAGATCTCATTCCTATTTATTAAGAAAACTGTCTCTGAGTGAGAGAGGTTCTTATACTTCTAGCGCCCTTCCTTTACTGACTGCCTTGCAGATTGACTTCTCATGTATACATAGCTTTGAGTGCCATGCCAAACTGCACAGTTGCATTTATAGAGATAGCCAAACATGTGTTCACAGAGGGGAGAATTTTCTCTCTGTGTTATTCCTTTCCCACTGTTACATTTTCTGTTAAAGAAATACAACCTAGGAACACATCAACTTCCATTGACTTTTGTGTACTTGCATAGATAACTGAATAATTAGAGTACATATAATAATAATAATAATAATAATAATAATAACAACAACAATAACAACAACAACTTTATTTTTGTACCCTGCCTCCATCTCCCTGAAGGGACTTGGGGCAGCTTACATGGGGACAAGCCTGATCAACATGTTTAAAATACAACACAACAAAATTCATAAAAACAACTTCACAAACAGCATAAAACAAACCACACACAACACAATATAAAACGATCATCGAACAAACCACTAAATGGTCTAAGTGGTAAACAGTTTCTGAGCTCGGGCAGTGGACTAGTGCAAATCAGTTGCAAGGACAGGGCTGATGGATAAAGTGCTGGAGCCAGATGACAAGGTTAGGGAATGGAGAGCAATGAAAAAGAGCACTCTATCTCTGGTTAGGGAACAGTGGTAATATGCGAGGACAAGGTTTTGGATCATAGCTGGGGCCCAAAATTATCTGGGGAACTGTCTAATCAAAAGCACAGTGGAACATCCACATTTTTAGATCTTTACGGAAGATGGACAGGTGGGTGCCAATCTAATCTTCCTAGGGAAAGAGTTCCAGAACCAGGGGGCCACCACCGAGAAGGCCCTCTCTCTCGTCCCCACCAATCGTGCTTGTGATGGGGGTGGGAGTGAGAGAAGAGCCTCCCCAGAAGATCTTAGAGATCGTGCAGGTTTGTAGGGAAAGATGCAGTCACAAAGATAGGCAAGTCCCGAACCTATCTATTCCATATCCATATCTATTTATATCCTATCTCTATTCATCTTGATTTGTCTGTATTTTTATCAATATCCATTTTTGTATACAAAGATAATAGTGATATGGACTTTAAAATATATCTATCTGTAACTGTCTATGTACTCATATGTATAAAAATGTGAATGTATAGTATTCAGATTGTGAATTTGAAAATAATTTGAAAATCTTATGCCTGCACCATAAATTAGCACATGCTTGCCTTATTTAGTAGTTTTACTATTCAATAGCATTTTTCAACATGCCACCTACAGATGGATTGGACTACAGCCCCCATTGCCCCCAACTATTATGACCAATAGCAGTTCTGGTTGAGAGTGATGGGAGTTGTAGCTCATCATTACCACGAGAGCTGTGGATTAGAGGAAAGTACTTTATAAACACCACTGTAGGAATTACAGCTGCTTCCCTAAATCTGCTTCTTTCCTGAAACTGAAATCCTTTTATGACATATACTCAAGGTAGAAAAGAACCCATAATAGTAACTAATAACTTTAGTGGGCTTGAATAAGAAAGCAAAATGATTTCGAGAGCAGTATGTTCTCAGAATATAATAAAAACTGAGAATTCCTTAATCACGTGAAGAGATGAGAAAAGCCATCCATTCAAGGCAGAAAAATACTCTTTTAATTTTGTTGCCTTTAATACGTGGCTGTTCTCATCTTTAGACATGATGGAGAAGCCAAGGGTTTGCTGCACAGCTGTCACAGGAATGAACTGATGATAGAGTTACCAAGTAATTGTGAAAATTTACCAATTATCCCAGTAGAATACAATTACATCAAGGGCCTTGGTACAGAGAGAATGCTTGTCGTCATGAGCCCTAGTTCAGGTATCAGGAGAGATCTGTAATATTGTATGCTTCCTTCCCAAAACCTCTATCCTGTCTAGTGAATTTACTCCAGTTTTAACAAATACAAACTTATTAGTATTTCAATGGTAAGTTTGGGCTTGCTTTTGGCTGATGAGATAGGAGTGTTGTTGTTGTGTGCTTTCAAGTCATTTCACACTTAGGTTGACCCTGAGAGAGGGCCAGGTAAATGACCTTGGAGGGCTGTATCCGGCCCCCAGGCTTTAGTTTGGGGACCCCTGCTCTACTGTATATGGAAAGAGGCCATGTACATGATTTAAAATGACATATTCTTTTCTTAAACTTTTTTCAACAGTTAAGTTTCTTCCTTTGTCATTTTTTTGAAATACTGTCTCCCCTTCCTTCAAGTTCACTCTGTTCTTCATCTCTCAACAGGTTGCTGGTTGGAGCACCTCGACAGAAAGCTTTCCCGACACAGCTAGCCAACAGAACTGGAGGATTGTACAGTTGTGATATTTCAACTCCAGATGTGCCATGCACACGTGTCAGGTTCGATGAGGAAGGTGAGTGCAGCCTTATCTCTAAGACCTCATCTTCACTGACCATTTAATGCAGTTTCAAACTGGTATTGATGAAAATAGCTCCGCTGTGAAGATGATCCCATAGGAAATCCTGGAACCAGTTTGAGGCTTGGATGGTGATTATACACAACCACAGAGCACTGAGGGCTAATCAAGGGCTTCTTTTGCTTGCTTTTGTGGGACTTTGTCTAGCTGCGTCTGAAGCTAGCTTCGAACGGCATTAAATGGTCAGTATAGACTGGGCCTAAATTGTTCTGCTCCAGCCAGAGTTCAAACATTTACTGGGTAAATGTTTTTGGTATTTAATTTTTTGATATTTAATTTATGCTTGGGACCTCTTGGTAATTATTTTTCAGTTGTAAACTTTGCTGTGGAGCCATTATATTATGCCGTTAAAAGGTACAACTTGGTTACAGTCCTGCAAGTTCTACAGAAGGAAGCCCCATGTATTTCCACAGGAGAACTTTCTATATTTGTGTTCTTCTGGTATCTGTGCTCAGACATTTTAGTTATTTAAAGAGTCTCATTACACACACACACACTTATCCTGTCAAAATTGTGCCTCTAATAATAATATCGATCTCTTCAGTGCATGTACAACAGAAACAAAACAACCCCAAATTAGTGGTGAAACCATTGCCATAATTTGTCAAATATATCCAGGTACCAGGAGTGATCTATGTTTGCATGGAAATAGTAAAATCTGAAGAACAGTTCAGTGAACAAAATTATGGAAATATCCCCAAGCATACAACCCATGAGGAATGGCTTATAGGGAATTATCATGTGGTTGTATTAATTATGTATATGTCAGAAGGGCATCGCCAACATGCAAAAGGCACCTGCAGGTTGAGGGGGAATGTTATAGATGACAGACGTACAAAATAACCTTAGACACTCCTCCCACAATATCCTGATTATTTATTTATTTATTTATTTATTTATTTATTTATTTATTTATTTGGGGGCACTTATATCCCCTCCTATCTCACCTCCTCAGAGGGACTCAGGGCGGTTAATAAATACTGAAGATGTATTTATACCAAACTGCTTTGGTATATTGTTAGGTATGGAAAACTGCAGGCTATCGTTTTGGGGAAGGATGGTGTGACTGGAATCTGGAAAGGGAGCACTCTGACAATGTAACGCTTTGTCCCAGGTCCCACTTATACTGAATATAACAATTGATACTGCCACTGGGAAGAGTTTAGGCTTTGTCCCATGTGTAGGCAAATAGTGCCATCTAAAGATAGTTTCAGGTATGACATGGCTTTGTTCAGTGGATTTTCCATCGAAATAACTATGTTGTGAGAAACTGTAGGTTTGGTCTAGAAAACAAAACTTTGAAAGACAGACTCTACCAATCTACTCTGTGATTTTTATGTTTACATTTATTTTTTGGCAGCTGATCTGAGCAAAGAAAGCAAGGAAGACCAGTGGATGGGTGTAACTGTCCGAAGTCAGGGGCCTGGGGGAAAAATAGTGGTAAGTTTTGCACCAGATGGTAAATATCTTGTTAGATGTATTGTCTTGTTAGATTTCATATGGTCTAATGCTATGGTTTACTTCTGTGTCTAATGGTGCAATTCCGTATTCAGTACCACCTGGACATTCCTCACCCCAATATATCCCCCTTTCTAGAGCCAAATATCTGCTCTTGAGCATACCCGGTGCCCTGGAGAATGTTTTTGGGGTGCATGAAGGAGGGGGCTACAGAGGTCAATTTTGGTGAAAGCAGTAGGACCCAGCATAAATATACCACTGGGTTGCATAGCCTGATAATCCCCCTAACTTTTTTCTTGAAGCCTCTGTTGATGAACAGTATAAAAGTTGAACACTTGATACTTGGGCCCTCCATGTGTTTTGTACTTCAACTCCCACAATATTAACATCTGGTAAACTGACTGGAAGTTCTGGGAGTTCAAGCCCCAAACATCTGAAGGGCTGAAATGTGCGCATGTCTGCTTTAAGACCTGATTTCTCATAGTAACTCTTTTGAAATCATTAGTCCTTCTAACTATTGCTATTTTTGCTTTACTACCTCCATGTTTGCTATCAGTTTGTTGATATTTGATTTTTTTCTAAATACCATATTATTGCTGATTTGTTGTTTGTATTGCATTATTTCACAAACCATTTTAAGCCACTTTGGAGGTAGGGGAGGAGGATTTAACCAACAAAAAAAAAACCAACTATAATACACCTTGCAGTATCCCCCCCCCCCCCCAATGCAAGTAAGACCTGCTTCATTTGTCATGGAGTATTCTGGGCCCATCATGAATATGTTTTGCTTGATATAGTGCAAAACATAAAGCAATACATTATGACCTGTATCTCAATGAGGGATGTATTCCTGGCCAGTTACTTAAAACAGTGGATGCAGCCAAACACCATTAAATTAACTGACTTCTACTCCTAAAACACCAAAAGGTTGCATTGGATAACTTGGATATTCCTATAGATATTTGTTTCTACAAATTAGCTGGGTCCTCCAGGACTGTGGCACTGTGGGTCTCAACTCCAAATGGAATCCCCTTAGTTCCGTATTTGGGTCTTGAAAAATTTGGCAACAGTAAACGTTTTCCGAATATCACTTAGTGGCTGTTTTAGTCATTTACACAAATCTGTTGTGCATTTTTTGCAGTGGATTCTGCAGAAGATGCTTCAGCTGTATTTCATGAAAAGGACAATCAGCCTGTTTTGCAGGCCTTGGAAATACTGATTTGTTATCAGTAAATGTTTGATTTTTATACCTATTTTATATACCATATACTCAGGCTCACATAAAAAATTCCTGGGCCAAAAGGGATCCCAAGTGGAAAAGTTTAAGAAGCTCTGGTCTATGGTAATATCTGTGGTAAGCATAACAATAAATTGCATAGAGGACCTTGCAAATTCCTAGAGAGGCCCTTTCCCCCTGGGTGTGAATAAGTGAAGCAGTAGATTTGGGTTCTGTGGTTACAGGGCTCTTTCTGTATAGTTCAAAGCTGGCATGGCTCCTTTTCCCACGCTCTGCAGCATGTATGCTTATCTCTGGTTTCTTGACATCTTCCAGACCTGTGCGCATCGCTATGAGAAAAGACAGTACGTAAACACTGTCCAGGAGACACGAGATATAATTGGCAAGTGCTACGTGTTGAGTCAAGACCTCACTATCAGCGATGATATGGATGGCGGGGAGTGGAGTTTTTGTGATGGCCGCTTGAGAGGACATGAAAAATTTGGTTCATGCCAGCAAGGTGTTGCTGCCACTTTTACCAGAGATTACCATTATGTTGTATTTGGGGCACCGGGTACCTATAATTGGAAAGGTAAGGTTTCTCATTTTTAGCTTTCCTGCTGTCTGTGTGGTAGAGGCAGTATTCTTGTTGCCTATAAAGTAATCTTAACAGTTCCCAAAAATGCTAGACTGACATTGGCCCAGGTGATTTGTTTTCTACAAGTAGGCCTGGAGTTGGCCAGATACCATACACACAAGCACCTTGGCTTGTAAAGTGGATATTTGCAACCTGGTAGTCGTTCTCATATACCTGGGTCCAGGGAGGTCCTCTTCTAGGCAGGCAAACAACCTTGCCTTTGACACAACAAGGCATTCACCACCCCTGGACTCACCTGGCCAGTCCATCCCAATAGTTTTTATCACTCAAGATGGGTTGAACTTCCAAATAGTGATATGAACTGTTTCAATATGCAAATACTACTAACAAATGAACTCGTGGGTGATTGTCAAAGGCTTTCATGGGCGGAATCACTGGGTTGTTGTAGGTTTTTTTGGGCTGTATGGCCATGTTCTAGAAGCATTCTCTCCTGATGTTTTGCCTGCATCTGTGGAAGGCACCCTCAGAATCTCCGAGGCTGCTTGCCACAGATGCAGGTGAATGTCAGGAAAGAATGCTTCTAGAACATGGCCACCCCTTGGGCGATAGTTTTTGTAGCCAAGGAAATATGCATTGTTGTCTCAGGACTACAGGTACATTTACTGCCTTAATGGCCCTGGCTCAACGCTATTGACTCCTGGGAGTTGTAGTTTTACGTCTTTCACTTTTTCTGCCATAGAGTGCTGAAGCCTTACCGAACTACAACTCCCAGAATTCTGTAGCATCACGCCAGGGCTGTTGAAGTAGTAACAAAGTGCATTCATTCTACACTGTAGATGCACCCTGATTAATTTGGTGGGCATGGCAAGTTTATGTAAAGAGTCTTTGGATTTCTCTGTACCTTGTGTATGCACAAAAGATATTCAATATCTTGTTGAATGATGCTTTTGGTTTTTCTTGCCACACTGCTTTATTCCAACAGCCATGGAATTTCTTCCCCTGATTCATTTCCTTATGGAGAATATTTAGTGTTGTGTTTATCTTAGGCCTTACTATGAAGCCAGTTTTTCAGAAAGACTTACTCAAGCAGAATTGCAGGAACAGTGTTTTGTGGGTGGGTTTTTTCTCTTGTCCTCTAAAATCTTGAGAATTGTAACCTTCTCTGAAATTAAAACCTGGGGTTCATAGAAAGACACATTCTGCACCAAATTCCAAAGTGCACAGACAATGATTGAAAATACACTCAGCTCTCTGTTATTCAGCACATAATCTCTTGTCTGGACAGCTCCAGGAACTTGACCTTTTCCGTGCCATACATTACATGACTGATCAGTATTCTTCTAACTCTCTCACAACCATAAGAGGGCTACCATAAAGTCTTGTTTAGGAACAGACTAGTCAAACATCATGGGCTTCAATGGTAAAGACATTCCTTTGTCGTCTGCCAAGCCGATATTTTGCTTGCATAGTAACCCCATTCATGGGAGTCCATTATCATTTCACTGAAACCTCAGAGGAGGGTGGTAGTTCTATAGTGAAGCACTTGGGTTTTTATGCAGGAGGTAGCTTCAGTCCCTGGCATCTTTAAATATTCAGATCACAAACTATGATATTTTCAGTATAGTTGCCATTAATTATTATTGGCGGCAATAAACTATAGGTAAAGGTAAAGGTTTTTCCCTGACATTAAGTTCAGCTGTGTCCGACTCGGGGGGTTGGTGCTTATCTCCATTTCTAAGCCAAAAGAGCGGGCATTGCCCATAGACACCTCCAAGATCATGTGGCCAGCATGACTGCATTGAGCGCCGTTACCTTCCCACTAGAGTGGTACCTATTGATATACTCCCATTTGCATGTTTTCGAACTGCTAGGTTGGCCAAAGCTGGGACTAACAACGGGAGCTCATCCGCTCCCTGGATTCAAACCTGTGACCTTTTGATCAGCAAGTACAGCAACTCAGTGGTTTAACACACTGTGCCACTGGGGGCTATAAACTATAATCTCTTCAAAATGCAACTGAAAGCTAATTTTAAAAACCTAATGCCTAGAATTCACTGGCATACAGTAGAGATGGACATCCTTGACTATTTTGTGCTTGCATGTGAGGATGGGATAGAAGTGCCTGGAAAAAGGAAAAGACTGGCTAGGGCACAAGAGAGGAAAGGAGGGCCCTGTTGCCCTACTTGACCAAACCATTATGGACTCTTACATGGTGAACTGGGACCCTTTGGAGGAAGGAGCGCATTATAGGAAATTTGATCTCTACAGGAACTTAAAGGAAGACCTGCAGGACTGTTAGGTTGTTACTGTGCCTAATAAAGGATCTGCTGCAACACATGGAAAAACAAATAGATTTTAAAATCTATGCCTTCCTTTCATTTCTCTGATGACTCAAGTACACAGTCTGGGTTCAGTGCAGATTATGGTCTCACAAGGTGTTTCGAAAGTCCTTATTTTTCATCCTGCCCTACAACTCCCAGAAATCCCAGCCAGTTTACCAGCTGTTAGGATTTCTGGGAGTTGAAGGCCAAAAACGTCTGGGGACCCCAGGTTGAGAACCACTGACCTAGATCATATCTTTAAGAACCTTCTTTGGTATCATCTTTTGTTGTATCATGAAGTTTCAAACCAGGCCTAGAACTGAGCTTATTACAAGCAGTGTTGCATTATGGTTCCTCCTTCCTTTCCCCTCAAAATTATGCCATTGTGGTTGCTTTTTCTTTTGCATAACTCACTGTTTTGTTTTAAGTTTTCCCCTCCCTTTGCCATTCATCCCACTTTTTGTTTTTTGCTTTGTCATGTCATTCTTCCAGGAGTGGTTCGTGCAGAGCAAAGGAATCAGACATATTATGATTTTGGTATCTTTGATGATGGGCCTTATGAAGTTGGTGATGAGAGCCGGCGAGATGAGAGCCTAGTTCCTGTGCCAGCTAACAGTTACTTAGGTAGGATTAAGCTCTTCAGAGATCTCCAGAAAATCACTACAAGAATAATTCAGTTATGGACTCATTGCATTTAAGCCAAGAGTTTGCCACTTGCTTCCTCCACCTACGTTTTTTTACAGCTGTTTTGGATATGTCGGATGGTACTCCGGCTGAGGTACATCTCAGAGCTGCTAATATAATGAGTCTTTTAAGAGCAACGACAAGGACTTACAGGTTCTTATGCCATGATTACTGTAACCCCTCACACATCGTAAGTACTGCATGAGGATTGGTAGGTCAGCATCAATGGCCTCAAGCACGTTGCGCTGGCAAGCCTATGCCATTATGGTTGGGAATGGCAAATTTGCAGTGACAGCATCCAAATAGCATTCTGGAATTGTGAACCGGCTCTGGAGCTTTCTTGAGGTGCTTTAAGGTGTGCTCTTGAAAGATGCGTGTGTCGCATGGAAATGGCTGGCTTGCTTTTAGATGTTTGCTTTTTAAAGTATGGATTGACACAAATGATAAATCTGTGTAGCACTTGCAGTGAAATAGCCGGGTCTTGATGCAAACAGTAAAGCAAACAACATCATTCATCTTTGGGATCTATATCATTAAAGGAATCTTGAAGGAGCAATTGTCAGAGTGACAGGACTAATAAGGCAGCCTTGGCTTGAGGCAGCATGCAGAATGCTTGGCTCAGGACAGTCCTTTTCTGTTAAAGACTGATCCAGGGAGAAAAGGGAAAGCTTTGGCTGTGCGAATGAAGATTTCTAAATTTTGGGAGTGACTTATTCCAATTTAGTGTGGAAACTGGGGCCATTTCCATCACTCCACCACCCTTCTGCACTATAGAGATGTTCATATGCTTAGTGTCATATGTCCCCCTACCTGATGTGAACATCTGTAAATGTTCTGGGTATTAAATGACAACAGGTTAACATTGTCCTTTCAGCCTCACTGTCTTTGCTCTTGTTTGGCAACAAGCGTTAGCTGACGGGTTTCCATTGACATAAAGGATGTGGGCTCCGTGGCAATCCTAGAAAATGTGCGGTCTTTCAAATATCAATGGACCCATCATCCCTATCTGCCATAGACAGAGATGAAGAGTGATGGGAATCAAGAGTCTAGTGCCTAGAATGTTCCTATTTTGATGTTATCTTTTCCATGTGGGTCTGGGCTCTAAAAGCTGAAGAGAAACCATCAGAAAAGAGTTTCCAGTCTTCTGAAGACAAGATTAAAATAAAGACAATACCACTTTGCAATATTTGCTAATAATAAAGTTTAATTTTGAATCTTCTTTATTCACATTTCTGCACCTTTTCTCTGGAGGCTTTTCACTGTTCTGCTATCGCTTGGCCTATATTAAAGTACATCTGCTGCTCCTCAGGTTGCCCGTGAAGCACTGTGTTGTTATGCTCTCTGCTTAACCTGTCCTCCTTTCTTTTCTGCATCTTCTTTCTGTGCTCACATTTACAGGTCTTCTTTTTATGACAAGTATCTCTTATGCTAACCCCGATCAGTTTGTGTACAAAACTCTGCCTCCCAACATCAAAATAGACAAGCCCACTGATGTGATGACGAATAGCTACCTAGGTTTGTGACCTCTTAAGTGATGGTCCCTGTCATTTTCTCCATGGCATTCCAGACTTGCTGACATCATCATATGATTTCCATTACTAAAGTCATGCATGTTATGGAAGAATTTCAGATTTGATGAGAAACTCTAGGGAAGCCTCTGGCTCCTGGGGAAGAAGCAGTGCAAATTGGGCTTTTCAGTTGCTCACTTGGCTAGTTGGGGCTTGTGGTACTTTGGGTTGGCAAGGTCAAATGAATCACTGGTTATTTGCCACATTCTATCCCTCAACATGACAATATGACAATTCAGTGATCACATACAACCCCATGTGCATAATGTGCAAGTCTGCCTAGAGAATTGGTTAAAGGTTTTTCTTTTTGTTTTGTAGCGGACATGGTAGATGCTTATATTCTTTTACAAATAGAAGTGCTTTTACAGGCACTTTTCAGAGTTTTGCTGATGATTTTGCTACTGCTTATTTTCTTAAGTTTCAGCTCATTGTGTGTTATCCCCATCCAAATTCCATAAAAGTCAATGCAGAGGGTGGGATTGTGCCCCAAGAATAACAAAAGGCCACTTGGCATGCTTAGCAACGCATGCCATTTTTATGGAATCTGAAGAGCATGACTCATTTTTCAAGTGTTTGCATTCATGTACCATCATGGGGATGCTATGTTAAAGTGGTGCTAATCACAGCTTTTTGAAGTAGTCCAAATTTTGGACATCACCATACCTAAAGTGAACCAAATTTATATATTCCAAAGCTGGAGAAACTGGGGCCTGTGGTGTCTTTGTCTTTTCCTCCTACCCTCCCTACTGTTTCCAAAATGGTCTCATTATTATGGTAGATACATGGCTGATATATGTGAGAGAAAATGTATGGATGAATGGGACATGTGGTCTGTGCTGCTGTAAAATTGGGAGTAGATGTACAGGTTTGTGTGGGTGTGGGAGGAGAAAAACACCATTATCTCAACACATTTATGTTTCTCTTGAACATCACACATTTTCTCTTTCTCTTTTAAGATTCTCCAGAAAGAGAGAGAGAATACGGGAGAAAGAACAATAGTGCTGCATTGGAAAGATCTTAATAAAGCTCTGGATCTGTCCACTGACAACTTCCCAACATCTCAGGGAATATGCCTCTGAATCTTAAAAAAAATCATTCACTTCTGGCATATATATGTGCTGAGAGAACACAGGATTGTGCTCTTATATTTACAATATGTGGAGGTTGCAGAGACAGGTTTTTACTTAAAGTATGCCTACTATGTAACATTACATAAATTATTTGGTTTAAAGTATATGTGTAGATCGACGCTACTTTCAATCACCACTTTAACATAGTCACTGTTATGTTTGCTTTAAAGCTAGTGGGAAGAAGAAGGAACAAGGAGCAGAGACATGCTTCCAATTCAGACCAACCCACTGAGAGATGCCAATATTCTGGGTCCGCCCCCACCCCCGCTTCCATCCTACCAGTGTTGTGTGTGTACCCTTCCTATAGAACAGTGGTTCTCAACATGTGAGTCCCCAGATGTTTTGACCTTCAACTCCCATAAATCCTAACAGCTGGTAAATTGGCCGGGATTTCTGGGAGTTGTAGGCCAAAACACCTGGGGACCCACAGGTTGAGAACCACTGCTGTAGACTAATGGGGTTATGGGACATTACATTTGGGGTTCCCCTGCACATCATGCTCTCTCCCATCTGGATGGGAGGGGCATGCCACACTCCACTGATGTTGTCTTTGCTACTCTTACCACTTTCAACAGTAAAGCCCTCAATTGTTCTTTTGTGTTGCAGGTTTTTCTCTGGATTCTGGAAAAGGTATTGTTTCTCAAGAAAATCTCACATTTGTTTCGGGAGCCCCCAGAGCAAACCATAGTGGGGCCGTTGTTCTCTTGAAAAAAGACAGTGATCTGCAGCGGGCACTGTCCCTTGTGCACGTGCTGGAGGGTGAGGGGCTGGCTTCTTCCTTTGGCTATGACGTGGCCGTTGTGGACCTCAACAGTGATGGGTAAACTTTCTTCTACTCTACTCCGTTTCCTATTCTGCTCTATGGGATGCAGGGTAGCCCCCCCCCCTTATTTATTTATTCTAGTTTGTTTCCCACTTGTCTCCTTGTACAGGATCTCTTCTAGAAAGCGTGAGAAGTTAAGCTGTTTCTCATTAATTCTGTGTCCCAAGAAACAGCAAAATAAGCCACAATACAATTACACCATGTAACAAAATCTGATTTTTTTTCTGTTACTGATATGAAAGTGTTATTGCTGCTTAATTATGCAGTACTTACTAATTAGTTTTTTAGAATGTTATAAGCACATCCCATTGGGGCCAGGCTTGGCACAGCAGGCTAAACTGCTGTGCTGCAGAAAAATCTTGCTGAGTCAGCAGTTTGAGCCCAGGCAAGGTGAGCATCTGCCGTTAGCCCCAGCTCAGCTGTCAACCTAGCAGGTCGAAAGCAGAAATGCAAGTAGATAAAATAGGTACCGCTTTTAGCGGGGACGTAATAAAAGATGCCCTTAAAAGGACATCGATTGGTGGAAAGCTCTTCGGCATGGAAGATGGAGCTACAGCACCCCTTCCCCCCACCCATGCCCAAAGTCGAGCATAGCCTCCCAAGATGTTGGAAATAAGATGGGAAAAACTGCCTTTACCTCAGTTTGTGTTGTCTGTCTTGTATAATCGGAATTGAATGTTTGCTGTATATGTGTTCTGTAAGCCGCTTTGAGTCCCCTTCAGGGTGAGAAGTGCAGGGTAAAAATACTGTAAATAAATAAATAAATATACTCCAAAACCTTCATTTTTGTGGCTGCCACAAACTATGTTGAATTGGTGGAGATTCGGTGAGATATTCATTGAAAAACTAGACCAACAATTTTTGCAGTTTAATAAACTTTTTCCATGTTTTTATGATAGAACCAAATAGCAAATGACATTTATAACCCAGGAACAGACATCATGTTACATAGCTTTATGTTAAAAAAAACTTGCCGGTTGCCTTCATATTTAACTAAAAGGTCATTGAGTATTTCAAATTCCCTGTATGTCCAATTGAAATGGCTAAGTAAGGAAATTTTACCATAGAGCAGGAAACTGTAAAGTGGCTCTCTAGGATGGTTTTTGTGGTTGTTTAAAATGTTTTAAAATGGCATGGTATGGGTATCATTTCTGCACCTTTTTTGCTCCCCTCTGGGATATTTTATGCCCAGGAAAAGGCTTTTAAAACAATAAAGTGATCAGAAATAGCCCACTTTATGTCCCATAGTTTAAAAAGGCCTTTCTTGGGCCTAAAATGACATGGAAAATATTGCAATAAGCTGTGTTTCTTTATCACTGAACACATTAGAGCAGTTTTCCCACTTGCTTCACACTATTGCCTTCAAAACATTGGTTAGTTTACATTGCTGTTTCTTTTGTTTTTTTTTTCCCAGTTGGCAAGATATTGTTGTTGGAGCCCCACAATATTTTGACAGAGATGGTGAAATTGGTGGCGCCGTCTATGTTTACATTAATCAACGAGGAAAGTGGGAAGGAATAAAGCCAGTTCGCCTCAACGGATCTGCAAACTCCATGTTTGGGATTGCGGTTGAAAACATTGGTGATGTTAACCAAGATGGCTTCCCAGGTAAGGAAGAATGACATTTGCTACAACATGGTCAGTCAAGAGGACTAAAAGATGGATTTGATGAATGAGTGGGGATTTCTCCACATTTCCAATAGTTGAGTTTCTCTATGAGTTAGTGTCCTTGAATCCAACAATACTTGTGTAGTCATTGTATTTCTTACTATATTTGCACTCTGCATTTTCAGACAGTTAAAATCATCATCATCCCATATGATGCTTCTAGTTTCCAGATCTTTTGAAACTCAAATATGTCTAACACAATGTATGCCTGGTGAACACTGCTTTTGTGAAATGTTGTGTTGTGGGCATTTGATAATTGTGGTTTTAGATTAGCCTTTAACATAGTTGTTTGCCTCTCAGCTTATGTTTATATGTACTTAATTTCCATGTTTTGTTGGAGCTCTTAGTTGTGGTTTTAGAATGATAAGATCCCCTTTTAAAACTATGTCTCCCTCACCTTGAACATTTTTATTCTTTTCTTTGGAAAAAAATAACAGATATTGCTGTGGGTGCTCCATATGATGGTGATTTTGGCAAGGTGTATATATTTCACGGCTCCAGGAATGGAATAAATACAAAACCAGCACAGGTACCAACTTGTAATATCTACTATCTCTAGTTGAAAGTCCTCCTTGTATATTCAGTTCCTCTTAAACAGCAGCCTGCTCATTTTTCTCAGCCACCAGCATCTGTCCTTCATTTGGTTTTTTGAGATTCCAGCTGGTATTACATTCTGTACATGAATGAGCTAATTGGAAATATCTGCTCCTCTAACACACATCATTTCTGACAACAGATGGTGCTGACTGGTTTAATCACACCTGAAGAATCACAGTCTTGGAGTTTTTTCACACTGTAGAATTACAACACTCTGTTTCACTATTTAATAGCCCTAGTTCAATCCTATGTGTTTGTCATTTAGGGAAGACCATTTAGATGGTTTAGCCAGGGAGCTCTTTTGGTGCCTCACCAAACTATAAATTCCAGAATATCACACGATACCAATTTGGGGGTATTGCCCCTTATTCCACCATTTTCTCTACCAGATGTTAGGTTCTGCCTAAATCTCAATTGCCGTTATGTGTGAATATGTCCACAATCCCACTGTAACTGCCAAGATTGATGACTTTCCCTTATTTCCACCTCTATCACCAATGTATGGTCCTCCTGCTGTGGCCACCATTGTGGGACCAACTAGCTGTCCTCAAGTTTTCTGTGCAGAACATTATGCAACCTCTGTCCCCAGTAGACACAAGCTCTCTCCTGAATCCAGGCCAAATGTGTGTGTGTGAATACTCTTTATTGAAAGAAGTTGAACATAAGAAAATACAAACAAACCTTTCACTCAAACTCTTCTCTACAAAAATGGCTAACTTGGACACACACCTTAGTCCCTAAATGTGAATGGCTTAATCCTAATCCCCACTTTTTCCTCCCCACTATGCCAGTCTTTTACATTCTCAGATGTCAGACCAGTTGTCAACCCCCAATCCCATTTGACTCCCTTCAATCCAACTATCACCACTCATTTACATATTCCATTCACTCATCACTCTTCTCATTACATGATGCATGAGTTACCTACTACACCACAGAGATGTCCCCTACTTTTTGACTCATTGTTTTTCAACTTCTGCTGTTTCAACAGCACCATACTTTCAAAGCGTAGTCTGCTCTTTTGATCACATTCTGCTCCCCTCTCCCACTCAGTCTACTATGTATGTTGGTTCCCTTGCTCTCTCTCTTTAGTCAGCACACTTTTCTCTCTCTCAGGCTGGGTCTATACTATCATATAATCCAGTTCAAAGCAGATAATCTTTATTTCGAAACTGGAGTATATGGCAGTGTAGAAGGGGCTTCAGTTGACTTATTGCCATCTAGTGTTCAGTCTTGCATTTGCAAGCTAAAAACAACACTAGATTTGAGTTCCCAACTCTCTTTGATTTTTGACAGTGCCACCACCATTATCATCTTTATGTGTATCCTACCCCATCTCCCCAAGGGACTTGAGATGACTAATTCTTAACCTGTTGACTAAGCAGGGAATGTTTGAACTGACAAACCCCAATTATTTACTGTATAAAACATTTTTTTAAAAAGTCCATGGTATCAAAGCAGCTAAGGTGACAAAAGTGGAATCAGGGTACTATAATTTCGTTGTGTGAAGGAGCTCCTAATCTAGTGTTTTCTGTGAGACAGGCTTCCATCCCTGCATTCTTATTTCCCGTAGGTCTTGTCAGCATCTTTTCACCCTTTTGTCCTATAACTAGCCAGAACTTATGTGTGCTTGTGTCTTCCCCTGCATGTTGTTTTACTGCATAGCCCTAGTAGTGGGAGAGGATGGCTGTTGTAGTTCATCAACATATAGAGGACCACACATTCCCCATCTTTGTTTTGGTCCTGTTTAGATGACTATGTCTCACTCACATATTCAGTGAACAGATGAGGTTGAAGGGGGTTTACGTCAAATAACCATGCTTCTGCCCCAAGCAGCCATGTATGTATAGTTGTATCTCCATTTGTCTGGAGCAGTAACAGGAACATACACCTTGGTTCACACTACATACATTGAAAGTCTTGGCACAAGGAGAGGGGTGGTTAACAGAAGCATTGGGAAATTTGGCTATTCGTCTTTCTCTCTCTCAAGCATTTGCTGAATTAATGGGGAGAGTTGCAGTGCAGCCTATTTCTAGACTATCAAGTTGGCCAGGCTGGAAGAAGACACATTGTGTTCAATAGTAAGCAGTAGTTTCAGTGAATACAGGAAAAGTTAGTCCTGTGTTTCTGTGAGCTATTCATCATATTTAGGCTCCTGAAACAATCCTATTGATTTCAGTAGAAGAGAAGCAGATCATGCATGTCTTTGCGTGTGTACTTTTTATCAAGAGTCAACCCCGATGTTTTTATTTCTTTCATAATTTTTTCACTAAAGATTCATATTCTTCCCTTCCCTTTGGAATCATAGTACTGTATTACTTTGTTATGAGCATGAAGCATGACCTCTAATCAATGCAGATATGATACTCCATTTTTGTTCCTTCCTAAATACTATTGATTCTTCCCTTTTCATTTATGAGTGTTATACGGAAAAGAAATCTGGGGAAAAATTGGCCTAACTGTTCTGAACATTCATTTATAAAGTCTTAACTCAGTAAATCAATAAATGTACCAGGAGCATATAATAATCTCAGACGTCACTCAGAGAAGCATGAGTAGTTTTCCTATATAAACCTGGGAACCTATGTGTTAGGACTGATCAAGGGACTACAAGTTGCGGTACGAGCCAGCTAAGATCAAATAATAAGTTATAACTGGTGGGAAATGAGGCAGAACAAAAAACAAAACAAAAAATACATGCAGACTGTGTTGTCGGAGGTTTTCATGTCCGGAATCACTGGGTTGCTGTGAGTTTTCCGGGCTGTCTGTCCATTTTCCAGAAGCATTCTCTCCTGACTTTTCATCCACATCTATGGCAGGCATCCTCAAAGGTTGTGAGGTCTGGGAATACATGAGGTTGAAGGGGATTTACATCAAATAACCATGCTTCTGTCCCAAGCAGCCATGTGTGCATAGTTGTATCCCCGTTTGTCTGGAGCAGTCACAAGAACATACATCTTGATTCACATTGCATGAAGACTGCTTGAGTGAGTGAGTGAGTGAGTGAGATCCAGCAGGTCCTAACACTATGATTCAATGTTGTCAGACACCCTATTAATCTAGGACAGTGTTTCTTAACCTAGGGGTCGGGACCCCTTGGGAGGAGGTTGTGAAGGGGTTTCAGAGAGGTTGCCAAAACATATTTTATGGCCTTAGGACACCCTTTGGCATAGTCATTTGGGTTCGTGGTGCTCTCCGGATGTAGGTGAACTACATCTCCCCTAAATCACTGTCAGTTCATCCCAAATCCCTCCAATGTTTTCCATTTGTTGTGGAGGCTCTGTGTGGGAAGTTTGGCCCAATTCCATTGTTGGTGGAGTTGAGAATTCTCTTTGATTGTAGGTGAACTATAAATCCCAGCAACCACAACTCCCAAATTACAACATCAATTAACCCACCCACCCCCAACCCCACAAGTATTCAAATTTGGACATATTGGGTATTTGTGCCAAATTTGGTCCAGTTAATGACAATATAACCTGCATATCTGATATTTACATTATGACTCATAACAGTAGCAACATTACAGTTATGAAGTAGCAACGGAAATAATTTAATGTTTGGGGGTCATCACAACATGGGGAACTGTATTAAGGGGTCGCAGCATTAGGAAGGTTGAGAAACACTGATCTAGGATGTCTATTTTATCATATTTCCTCTGTGGCTTTCTTTGGTAATGGCTTTGCTTTTTCCTTTCTGCTCCTTTCCCCTCTTATTGTTGATCACTCTCTGCATTTTAAACTGCTGATGACTAACACTGCTAAATGTGCTATCTAACCTAATGTTCGTTATTTTTGGTTTTTAGATCCTTGATGGCGAAGCAAACAAAATTGCATTCTTTGGTTATTCTATCACTGGAAATATGGATCTAGATAAAAACTCCTATCCGGACATTGCTGTTGGATCTCTTTCAGATTTTGTATCTCTCTATAGGTTAGTTGGCTTAGAAATTAAAATGACAAGAATATACAGGTATACCTTAGTTAACAAAGATGTGTTCCTGGGCTTTACTTTTTTAACAGTAACATGGGTAGCAGAAAGATTAAGATTAGGTTCATCAGGAGCCTTCAGTGGCGCAGTGGATTAAAGCACTGAGCTTCTGAACTTGCTGACCAAAAGGTTGGCAGTTTGAATCCAGGGAGCCGGATAAGCTCCCACTGTTAGCTCCAGTTCTGCCAACCTAGCAGTTTGAAAACATGCAAATGTGAGTAGATCACTAGGTACCGATTCGGTGTGAAGGTAATGACACTCCATGCAGTCACGCCGGCCACATGACCTTGGAGGCGTCTACAGACAACGCTGGCTCTTCAGCCTAGAAATGGAGATGAGCAACAGCCTCCAGGGTCAGACACTACTAGACTTAATGTCAAGGAGAAACCTTTACCTTTACATCAGGTTTCAGCAAAGCTTTCAATTCAAAACTAAGGTTATGCACATGTGAAAATGAAACCACCAGATCAGATAAGCTTTGTATAAATCATATTTTGAATCTTTCTAGAAAACACTTGAAATATTCTCCCAAAATTCACATTTTCCTCCAGAATGATTTCTGTTTTTGTGATGAAGTATATAGATTTGTGTTTTTTCAACTTGCCAGAGTAGCTGATACAGTGAAATCAGTTAGAATAGAACCCTATTCATTCATGGGCCAATCTTTATTGTGTTGTTTATTGCAGACCTGCTGTTGCAACCCAACTCTGAAAGTCTTTCTCTGACCCTCCTTAACTTTTCTTCCAATGCCAATGCTGCAAAAAGCTTCCATCTAGTTGGAAGACAAAAAAAAAAAAAAAAAAAAAAGGGGGGGGGGATGATAAAGTTGGCCTTCTACAAAAAGACTTTGTGCAGTTAAAAGCTTTGAACTAAAACATGAGCAAAATGCAATGCTTCTTTACCTATTTGTTGTTTTGTGCCTTCTAGTTGTTGCTGACATATGGGGCCCCTACTGTGAATATGCCATAGGGTTTTCTTGGCAAAATTTATTTTCCTTCACCTCCCTCTGAGGCTGAGATGGTGTGGCTTGTCAACAGTCACCCAATTTCCTTGGCTGAAGGAGGATTTGAACCCTGCTCTGCAGATGCATAGTCCAGTACTCAAACCACTATGTCACTATGACTCCCTTCTTTCACTATATACCAACATAAACACTTCCCCTTTATGTAGTGTTGTAAATGTAATGGTTCTTTCTTGCCTTCTTCCTTCCCCTCAAAAAGATCGAGGCCTGTAATAAATGTTAAGAAAACCATTGAGATATCTCCAGACAGAATTGATCTGAACACAAAGAACTGCCGTGAACCTAGCGGGATTTGGTAAGCAATTGACTTTTCAAATTTGTTTCTAGTTTAAGCAAATTATTGTGCACTTCTTAGAGGAATAACTATAGAAAGCATTGCACCAGAAAAGATACTTTTTGGAACTACAACTCCCAGGATCCCTCATTAGATGTGTTGGTCGTGGGGTTTTAGAAATTGCAGTCCAAAGAATTGACTTTCCTAAGGTTTGATCCAAATGACCAGCCACTGCCAGAAGGGACAGAGAGTTTCATCTATGCTGATGATCGTGCCATTACCACTCAAGCAGGGAGCTTTGAGATGGTTGAACAGAAGCTCTCCGAAGCTCTAGGTGCTCTTACTGCCTATTACAGGGAAAACCAGCTGATCCCTAATCCATCTAAAACACAGACATGTGCTTTTCCCCTTTAAGAACAGACAAACATTCCAAGCTCTGAGGATTACCTGGGAAAGAATCCCACTGGAGCATTGCAGCACCCAAATACCTGGGAGTCACTCTGGACCGTGCTCTGACTACAAGAAGCACTGCCTGAATATCAAGCAAAAAGTGGGTGCTAGAAACAATATCATACGAAAACTGACTGGCACAACCTGGGGATCACAACCAGACACAGTGAAGACATCTGCCCTTGTGCTATGCTACTCTGCTGCTGAGTATGCATGCCCAGTGTGGAACACATCTCACCACACTAAAACAGTGGATGTGGCTCTTAATGAGACATGCCACATTATCACGGGGTGTCGGCGCCCTACACCACTGGAGAAATTACACTGTTTAGCCAGTATTGCACCACCTGACATTTGCCGGGGAGTAGCAACCAATAGCAAAAGGACCAAGGCAGTGACATCTCCGGCCCACCCCCTGTTTGGGTATCAGCCAGCACGCCAATGACTTAAATCAAGAAATAGTTTTCTAAGATGTACAGAGACAAGGCAGAGACATCTCCAGCTCATCCCCTGTTTGAGTATCAGCCAGCACGTCAATGACTTAAATCTAGAAATAGTTTTCTAAGATCTACAGAGACACTCGCTGGAACACCCCAGCAAGCGAGAGTCCAAAAGTGGCAGGCTCAAACCCAGAACCTCAACCAATGGCTGATTCCAAATGAGAGACTCCCCCCTGGGTACACAGAAAAATGGGAATTTTAGAAGGCGCTGAACAGACTGCACTCTGGCACCACGAGATGCAGAGCCAACCTTAAGAAATGGGGCCACAAAGTGGAATCCACGACATGCGAGTGTGGAGAAGAGCAAACCACAGACCACCTACTGGTCATGGGGGTTCTATGTGGGAAGTTTGCCCCAATTCTGTCATTTGTGGGCTTCAGATGCTCTTTGATTGTAGGTGAATTATAAATCCCAGTAACTACAACTCCCAAATGTCAAGGTCTATTTCCCCCAAACGCCATCTGTGTTCATATTTGGGTATATGGAATATTTGTGCCAAGTTCGGTCCAGGTCCATCATTTTTTGAGTTCACAGTGCTCTCTGGATGTAGGTGAACTACAACTCCCAAACTCAAGGTCAATGCCCACCAAACCCTTCTAGTGTTTTCTGTTGGTCATGGGAGTCCTGTTTGCCACGTTTGGTTCAATTCCATCATTGGTGAAGTTCAGAATTATCTTTGATTGTAGGTGAGCGATAAATCCCAGCAACTACTACTTCCCAATGACAAAATCAATTTTTTTAGTGATGGTCACTCCTTGGGTTAGTAGGTGTCTTGCGACCAAATTTGGTGGCAATTCGTCCAGTGGTTTTTGAATTATGTTGATCCCACAAACGAACATTACATTTTTATTTATATAGATTTACCAGTAGCTGCTGCATTTCCCACCCCCAGCTTATACTTGAGTCAATACAGTTTCTCAGTTTTTTGTGGTAAAATTAGGTGCCTTGGCTTATATTCAGTTTGGTTTATACTCGAGTTTATAAGGTAATTTCCCGAATGCTGATGAATCAGATAAACCCAGTCTGTCCATGCTGTGCTAGGGGTGATGGTGAAAAAAGTGCTGGTCCTGTTCCCATGAAATCCTTTGCCCTTAGATTCTTAGAAGGCACTCTAACAGCACCAAGTGGATTGGCTACCTTCTCCCCAAAACATCAATATTCCACTTTATCTTGAGCTGCCAGCAACTCTTAATACAATATATTTTCTTCTGAGCTTCCTTTATAAAGCCAGTTCTGCATTCTTGAATTCTTACAGTATGAACGTCAAAGCCTGTTTTGAATATACAGCAAGTCCCAAGGATTTCAACCCCAAAATAGGTAAGTTATGGTAATAAAGCTTGTCTGTTGCTAAATCGTTATGGGTGGATGATTTCAGGAAGTCCGTTTTCTCATTTGGCTTTTTCATGTGTTCATTCAGCTATCACATGGAGAGTATCCAGCATGTCATATGATTGCTCACAGTGGCTATTCATGTGACACTGTGGTTTTCCAAAGAGAAGTTAATTTAAAGGCATTTTCCCCCAGCTTTTGTGCTTTCTACGGACTAGTTGCCTGATTAAAGCAAAGCACATGGTATGTTTGTTTATCCCAATGAGTATCCCACAACACACTTTTAAGAGCAATGGAAAGACAATTGACAGGAACCAATATAGATCTTCCAGTAGAGAGGTGACTAACTCTCATCAGCATTATGCATTCAATCAATTACCTGTTCGAAGGAAATAGTTTCTATCCCCCACACAGCTGTAGCTATATGCAATTTCTCAGTTTTTGGATTGCCGAATCACAGTTCATATATGTGTGTGTATTATTTCTTTGGTTCGAAAGGGGAAAGCCTCCAAAAAAATTTAAGGTCCCTTATACCTCCTATTTAATACTTGATATCTAATGTCAAATATTAAATAGGAGGTAATACTTGATATCTAATGTTCTTACAACATTCCTGAATAGCCAGTTGGGTGCCGTGTCTTGCATTATGGCCGGTGATTGATGTGCTCTGTGCTATATGCTTAAGTGGCATGTTTTAAGAGGAGTGCATGGCAAAGTGAATACAGGGAAATGAGTGATTTAATGTGACGGCGCGTGTGGCGCCACATATATGTAGAACTGTTAGTTGCAGGATTTAAACTGTCATTTTATTCCTGTCTACCTTGTATATGTATAGTTAAATTTCATTGGTTATTATAGCTGTCAATTTATTGTTGTTGTGCACCAATTGGCTTGTTTCCCCAGTTCAGTTGTTTAGGCTCCGCCCCTTCCAAGGGAGAAAGGGAAGGTATCTCTCTCACCTTTTTTACCTCAGAAAAAGACTCATTGGATGGACGTGTGCAAAGCTTGGCCCAAAGCCCCTGGTCAAGGCATTTTTTTACCATCGATTCTTAGGTTTTTACCCCTGAGACTTATTCTTTATGTTCAGACCCCCTTAATGAAATTGGGAAGTCTCAGGCGCCTTCACACCGGTTCTTTTGGTACCATAGGAAGGTCTTGTCCTTCATCATAGGCCATTGAACTGGGGTTGTGTTTATTTCGATATTCACAGCCATTGAGAGAGAGGGAACAGGAAAAAGCTTCTCAGCTAATAACTCCTAGGACCCTGGACTTTAGAGTTTGATAAAGTATTTTTCCCTGTTGAAACATCAAGTTTGTGCCTAAGAAAGAGAACTCATTGTCATCAATAAATACCATTTCGAGTTACCTGTTGTGTTCTGGTCCTTGGGAGTTCCAGTTTCCCTAAAGGAGGGCAAGAAGCAATCCCCTGGGGAAAGATGTCACGTCCATGCCTCTTTCTCTAAGAGCTATATAGCCCCAGGCGCGACAATATATTTAAGTAAGGCATCTGTATAATTATATTGTTTTCAGAAATACTTAAACAGATCTGTACTAATACATCTACCACAGTTTGATGTAGAATGGTTGGAAATGGTTCAGTTCCTGACTATTTGAAAAACTGCATCTCTGTATACAGACCACCATAAGCACAGTGATCAGCGGAGGACCCCCTGCTCTTGGTCCCACCCCCATCTGAAGCGTGGTTGGTGGGAACAAGAGAGTGGACTTCTCCATGATTGCTCCTTGCCTCTGGAATTCCCTCCCCAAAGAACTAAAAACAGCCCCCTCTCTCCTTTAAAAAGCTTCTGAAAACTCATCTATGCACTTTAGCTTATGGAGAGGAGGAGGACTGATTACATTTTGATATAAACCCCTGCCAAAGTGTTGAATATCTACCTTTTAAAGAGTTTTTAAGAAATTACTATGTTGAAAAGTATGGGTTGTAGTATGCTATGTTGATTTATGTTGTTATATTAACTTTTATTGAGTTTGTTTTTGGTTTGTTACATGTTGTTCTTGGTTCTTGGCATGGAATGTTTGGCACTGTGTTTTCTACTGGAAGACACCTCGAGTACCCTTGGGGAAATAGGGTGGGTTAAAAATAAAGTATTATTATTATTATTATTATTATTATTATTATTATTATTATTATTATGTGGTGTTCGAGGTCTCAATTTCTCTTTCTAATAGGGGTAGTATGGTTAAAACACAACTTAATATGCTTGATTTCTCCTCTCAATTCATCCCTCACCCCACCCCCAGTTCTGAACTATGCATTTGAAGCGGAAAATGAGAGGAGGCAGTTAGGTTGGCCATCCAGAGTGCATTTTTCCAGGCGTCAATCTGATCGGTTTAGTGGAACTGTGACACTTGCAGGGCAGAAGAAGGAAGAATGTGTGACTACGACACTAGTATTACAGGTATGATGAACAGAAAGGGATACATAATCTTACTTCAGTGCTGCTTTTTCTTTGCTTGTCTTTTGTAACTTGAGATTAGTTTATGGATGCCCAACCTGTGTCTCAGGGAAAACAAGTGAAAAGGCAATGTGATGTAGTAGCAAGAACGATAGGATCAAAAAGTCCAGCATTCAGATCTTAAGTGCAATGGTCTCAAGACCAGTCTTGAGACGTGTTTTGAAGGTCAAGAGAAGCATGTATATTGCCTTCAAAGTACTGTTTCCTTGCCTGATCACCTCCCCAATCCTACATTACTAGTCAGTAGCTGCTCCAAGCAACTGAGGTTAATTCTTGTTGATTTGGATGCAGCATACTCCTGTTTCCAATCTCCCTCCTCCTGGTGATCTCCGGTGTCACAATTAGAAGGAAGATCCCTGTTGTGATCACTAGTGAGTGGGATAGAAACAACAGGCTACTGCATCTTGATTGATAGGAGAACAAACTCCAGTTGCTTGCAATGACTGATTCCTAGTAAAGCAGGGTTAGAGTACTCTTATGATCATGCCAATATTGCCACCATTATAAATACAATGTGAATCAGTTACAGATGTGTACACTAGTGAATTCCAGCCAATATTTGTATTCTGCCTTTTTTCCATTGAGCTCACTATGTGATACATGGCTATAGTGTCCCCCAGTTTAACCTCATAACAACCCTGTAAAGTAAATAGGATGAAAGAAAGTGATAAGTATAAATAGAAATATGTCAACCTATAGATCCACAAGTGGCTTTGTGAAGACTCAGGCTACATGCTGTAAAGAAATATATTTTCACTGGTGTTCCCTGAGACACAGGTTGGGCATCCATAAACTAATCTCAAGTTACAAAAGACAAAAGAAATATATAAATGTTCTCCTCCCTACTGTAATTTTCAGGATTGGTATCACTGATAGGGAAAAGGAGAGGTGTCATAGTCCCAATACAAATGAAAGTGCAAGGAGGTTGGCAAGCTAGATTCTGGTAAATGTAATATAAGGCTTGGGCCTTAGTTCTCTGAGATGCATACATGTCATCACATGTTTTGAATGAAGATGTCCAAATGGGTGCCTTCCTTCAGTGGAGCTGATTTGTCTCTCTAGTGTGGTGTATGTAGTTCTGTTAATTCAAAATACTTGGTCCACCTCAGCATAATGATGTTGGAAATAGGCATGCTGTCACATTGTGACTTTGCCATTACAATCCAGTTTTACAATAGCATTCTGCAAACTCAAAATTTCTCTGATTCCCAGCCTTTATTTGGAGACACACAAGTTTGAAGTAAGGTGGTTTGTTACCAAACCAAGTAGGAACTAATTCCATGTTCTAACTTACCTTTCTCTTCCATATTACTTAGGATAAGATCAAAGATAAGCTGCGTCCGATTCCTGTAACCGTCGGAGTGACAATTAATGGCTCTGAGTCCATCTCACTGCCCAGGAGGAGACAAGGAAGGTCACTGCCAGAACTGGTTCCAATTCTCAATTCTAATGAGCCAAGTACCATTAGATCAGAAGTACGTTTTTTCTTGTCTTTTTAATCCAGAGGGGTTTTTGTATTAGTTTGTGCTGCACTTTGTTACCTAAACAACTTGCTCTACTTCTATCTGCGGATAGTTAACATTCTGTTGTCTGCTGGAACTCATACTGAGACAGAAAAGGGTGATGTGGATTTGAGTATTGATTGGATGGAGTTTTAATGCTAATGGTTTATATTTTTGTGTGTATTTAACTATGTTTTTAACTGGACAAATGTTCTATTTGATTATGTTCTTATTTTAATTGTGTTTTTGTTTGATAGATAGTTTATTTATTGTCTTATGGACATTTGGTCTCATGTAAGCTATCTTGAGTCCCTTCAGGGAGATGGTGGTGGGGTATAAAAAATTAAATAATAATAATAAAATATTATTTATTAATACTGACACAAAAACACATTATGACACAGCAAATGAGATATATATGCTGAATTTTGTGTCACAAAATCACAAGTCAAACACTTCCCAAGCGTGTAGGACTGTGTTATGTATTTTCAAATGATGCTTGCAGATCCAAATAAGGTGGCCTTTTGCAGTTGACAGATTGTGATTTTGTCAATCTTTATTGTTTCCAAATGCTGGCTGAGATCTTTTGGCACGGTGCCCAGTGTGCCAATTATCACTGGGACCACTTGTACTGGTTTATGCAGAGCCTTTGAAGTTTGATTTTGAGGTCCTGATAACGGCAGAGTTTTTCCTGTTGTTTTTCATCAATTCAACTGTCACCTGGTATGATGACATCAACCATCCAAACTTTTTTCTTTTTCAAAATTGTGATGTCTGGTGCATTGTGTTCCAAAATTTTGTCAGTCTGGATTCAAAAGTCCCAGAGTATTTTTGCATGTTCATTTTCCACTACCTTTGCAGGTTTATAATCCCACCAGTTCTTTACTACTGGCAAGTGGTACTTGTGACATAAGTTCCTATTATTATTATTATTATTATTATTATTATTATTATTATTATGTGTTGCATTTTAACATGCACAAAAATACCTCACCTTCTCAGCAGTTCTCTTTCATCCATTTTGTGGAAAGGTTCAAATGCTGGCTGCACTATTTTAGGTGTTGTAGTTAAAATAAACCTTTGCCCAACTATACATTTAACAACTGTGCTGAGAAACTGATATTTGTGTGTATGGGCACTGAAGTCATTCTATCTCAAACAACTGATATCATAGAATAATAAGTGTTGGAAGAGACCACATGGGCCACTTAGCTCAGTCCTCTGCTATGCAGGATATAACAGGCAGTGTTTGACTGATAAAGATTTCATCCGCGTGGCCTGTATGATTCTAAGATCCTGACATGACTAGAATAATGTAGGATAGGATGACTAGATAGGATCTTAAACTGCAGCTACAAGTCTCCCCTGGCAAAATACAAATAATTCAGCAGTTTGTGAGAAAGAATTCAGAAACATTAGTAGGAAGTGGCTGCAGAGATGGGCTGAATTCTACATTGCACTGTGCTTATTTAAATCACTGTTTTAAATAAAATGCACCATTTGAAATCTTAACTGCTTGGCATGGACCCTTTGTAGGTGCAGTTCCTGAAAGAAGGTTGTGGATCAGACCATATATGCAACAGCAATCTAAAGCTTCATTACAGATTTTGCACTAAAGAAGGCAGTGAAGACAAATTTTCCTACTTCCCAATGTAAGTCTTACAGCATGTGTATAATGAAAATGACTTTTGATCCTTTGAGACCCATTTATTTACATGTTTAAATTTTTAAACTGTGACTCATGCTATTTCTCCAGGGAAAACAATGTTCCAATGCTTGTCCTCAAAGACCAGAAGGACATTGCCCTTGAAATCACAGTCACAAACAGTCCGTCTGATCCAAAAGATCCCCAGAAGGATGGTGAAGATGCACATGAAGCCAGATTCATTGCCACCTTTCCAGATAGTTTGACATACTCTGCTTTCAGGGAGCACAAAGGCTTTCCAGTAAGTGTTCCAGCAAGTGACGAGACTATTCAAAGATATTGCTGCTTGGATTACCTTTGAATTAACATTCCTGTCCTGTTTAATATAGGAAAAACAATTGATTTGTGGTGCTAATCCAAATGGTTCTCAAGTCGAGTGTGAACTTGGAAATCCTTTCAAGAGAAATTCTAATGTAAGTAATATTTTCTTTCATAGCCTGTGCAGGAATGTTTGGATGGGAAATAATGTTTTCTGGATTTCCAGTAGGTCAGACAGACTTCCTTCACTCCTAAATTAAAATCAGACTCTTGTTTCATTTTGATACCCTTAATGAGCTTAATTTTTTAGTAGTACAAGAGTGAATATTACTTGCTGCCAAAAAATGAAGTTTTGCTGTAATCCTACCATCCAGACAAGACAGAGGTATTCCTGGTCAGTCATAAGGCCAGGCATGGTATAGGGTTACAGCCTGTGTTGGATGGGGTCACACTCCCTCTGAAGACACAGGTTTGCAACTTGGGAGTGATCCTGGATTCATAGCTGAGCCTGGAACCTCAGGTTTTCGGGGTGGCCAGGGGAGCATTCGCACAATTAAAATTAAAACTTGTGTGCCAGTTGTGCCTATACCTTGGGAAGTCAGACTTGGCCACAGTGTCCACACTCTTGTTACATCCCAAATAGACTACCGTAGCACTCTCTACATGGGATTGCCTTTGAAGAATGTTTGGAAGCTTCACATGGTTCAACGGGTGGCAGCCAGATTGCTCACCAGAGCGGCACACAGGGAGCACACAGCCCCCCTGTTGTGTCAGCTCCACTGCTGCCAGTCTGCTACAGAGCACAATTCAAAGTGCTGGCTTTAGCCTATAAATCCCTAAATGGTTCCAGTCCAGCTTAACTATCCAAACACATCTCCCTTTATGAGCTAGTTAGAGCATCAAGATCAGCTGGGGAAATCCTGTTCTCCGTCCCGCCACCGTCGCAGGTGCGATTGGTGAGGACGAGAGACGACCATCTCGGTGGTGGCCCCTCGGCTGTGAAACTCTCTCCCCAGTGAGATTAGATCACCCCCCTCCCTCCTGATCTTTAGAAAGCAACTAAAAATTTGGTTATGCAAATAAGCATTCGGTGAGAGACAATAATAACGTAGCAGATGGATGATAACTGCAGGTTCAGTGCAATTTAAAAATGTTTTATGATTATATTGATGGTTTCTAGTTTTTAATGGTTTAATTTATACTTGTATGCTATTGTATTAGATGTGCTATACTGTTTTTATTGTATGTGAGGCATTGAATCTTGGCCATTTATTTGATGTGAACCACTTTGAGTCCCTGCAGGGGTGAGAAAAATGGTATATAAATGCAATAAATAAATAAGAAATCAATCAATACCAGTACTGTTATCAATATTGTTTTATTATTTTAAGGTTGCTGTTGTCTCCCTAGTTAAGATTGAATGTATATGGCACATGTGACAAAACTGACAAATTGAATTAAGAGTCTGGGAAGGAAAGCAACAAGACAACTATTTCATGGAAAACTGATCTTTATATATGGTTGAAATGACAACGCTCACAATAAAATCAATCCATATATGCTCTAGAGTATAAAATAACCTATTTATAAATAATTGAGTTCAAGTTTGCTTGTGTATTAATATGAATATAAGAATGCAAAAAATGAGTGAGAAAAGAACACCAATATGAGTTGCTGCAAGAGTCACCATTATCTCATCTACCATGATTTTTAGCCTTAAGAAATGCCTGCTAACATTTAAAGCATATCTATCTACTTGTAATGTATCACCTATTGCACATTTGTCATATTAAATTCATGTTTTGAAATATATTTTAAGGATTTATTCATTTGTTCTTGTTTTAGGTAACATTTTATGTGATACTAAGTACAACTAAAGTTAATGTCGATACAAGGGATTTGGACATTAATCTGAAACTGGACACGTAAGATTTTTCTTCTTTTCATTTGCAAGCACCAGCTTCCTCAATACTTGAAAATGCTTTGAAATTTGGTTGTGAACACACTTGTTTTTTAAAATGCCCGTGTTTCCTTCCTTTGTTGTAGAACAAGCAATCAAACTAATTTGGATACAATTACTGCGAGAGCTAAAGTAGTTATTGAACTGCTTTTGTCACTCACAGGGTAAGCATCATAGTTAGCATAACAAATCAATGCTGGAGACATCCTTTATTATGGTCATTAAACTGTGATGTTTCTTTGTTCAACAGAGTTGCTAAGCCTTCCCAGGTGTATTTTGGAGGCAATGTGATTGGTGAAAGTGCGATGAAAACTGAAGATGACATTGGTAGTTTAATTGAGTATGAATTCAGAGTAAGTGCAAAATATTCAAAAATGGGGTGGGGGTGGGGGGGGGTGTTCAAATAATCTTGCTCTTGTCTTTGCATTGTAAGACATTGTTTAAAGACATTTTTTTCATAACAGCAATATCCCTTCTAGATGGTGTGGTGTTTTGACACATGGCCATCCTAAGACAAATTTATCACAGGGCTTTTGAGGGGAAAAAAATCAGAGGGGCTTTGCCTTTCTCTGAATCTAGGGCCCCTTCTACACTGCCATATAAAATCCAGATTATCTGCTTTGATTGAACCGGATTATATGGCACTGTAGACTCAGCTGTAAGCAAATAATGTATATTCCGAAGCTATGGGAAAGTATAGTTAAGTAGCGTAATGAAACACGCTACTTAACTGGGTCCTTTTTAGAGTCATGAATTTTTTCAGGATTTGTTAGTAGTAGTCATAATATAACAACAACAACAACACTTCATTTATATTCCGCTCTGTCTCCCTAAGAGGACTCAGAATGGATTACACAGATAGGCAAACATTCAATGCCTTTAATAAAGTGAAATAACAATGACGTACAAATACACAGAACAAAGGCAAAGGCTTCCCCTTTCATTTCCGTCTTTCTGGAGGCAGTGCTCAACTCTGGCCATGGGGCTCTTGTTCCATTTCTAACCTGAGGAGCCTGTTGTTTGTAGACACATCCTGGTCATATTTTGCTGGCATGGCTGCATGGGTGCCTTTATTACCTTTCCAATAAAGCAATACCTATTGATCTACGCATATTTGCATGTTTTTGTATTGTTAGGTTAGCAGGATCTAGGACTAACAGTGGGAGCTCACCCTGACAGCGGTTTCAAACTGCCAACCTTTAGGCCAGCAGATTCAGCAGTTCAGTGGTTTAAGCTGTTGTGCCACCATCTCTGGCTCATGGCTCAAAGCTGGTCATATCACAGTCAAAACGCAAACATTGCAAATTCTCTTCATCTTTTTCTTCTAGATCTCAAATTCTCCAGGAAATATTTAACTTCATTAGATTTCCCTAAACAAACAAAATCATCACAAACATCTTGATATTACATGCTCATACAATAATGAGAGATGCTAAATTACATTGCCCTGTTGTCATTTTAATCCATGTTTCTTTTAGGACACTTAAAGATATTAACATAAACATTGGAATGGCTGCTTTTATATCGCGATCTTTTCTCTTCTCTTTATTTAAAAAATGCATGCTTCACAATGTATGTGGTTACATAGGTTTACTGTATGAGGAAATGCATCTATTTTCAATCAAATGCTTCCTGACAGATAACGAACTTGGGCAAGCCACTGAAGACATTTGGTGCAGCCTTCTTGGATATATCGTGGCCGAAAGAACTGAAGGGAGGGAAGTGGCTTCTGTATTTGGTATCAATACACTCCAAAGAATTAGGAGAGCTGCAGTGTGAACCTCCATATGAAATAAATCCTTTGGGAATTGAGGTAAATGATCACATTTTTTGAATCAAATTACCAACCATGAAATCAGCAGCATTCATTTTAAAATGAAGTATGATGTTTGGTGCATTTGCTTGGCTTCTTAGATCTGGAATGAAAATATCTAATATAGAGAGTGATAGTGCTTTGGATTCAAAGTGACTAAATTGCTTTGGTACTAGACTGAAAGGTTAGAATTCTTTGTGGGTTGTGTTCTCAAAGGCTTTCATAGCCAGAATCATTGGGTTGCTGTGATTTTTCCGGATTGTATGCCCATGTTCCAGAAGCATTCTCTCCTGATGTTTCGCCCACATCTGTGGCAGGCATCCTGAGAAGTTGAGGGGTCTGTTGGAAACTAGGCAAGTGGGGTATATATGAGTGTTGCAGTTGGCCACCTTGGTTAGCATTGAATTGCCTTGAAGTTTCAAAGTTTGGTTGCATCCTGCCTGGAGCAAGAATCAAGGTAGCCAATTGCAACATTCACACTTTCCTCCAACAGACAAAGAGTTCTTTCTCCCATTCCACACATATACAAACCCCACTTGCCTAGTTTCCAACAGACCTCACAACCTCTGAGGATGCCTGCCATAGATGTGGGTGAAATGTCAGGAGCGAATGCTTCTGGAACATGGCCATACAACATGGAAAACTCACAGCAACTTTTTGTGGGTTGTTCTAGAATCTAATGCCATTTCTAGCTAAATAAATAAATACCTCCTTCTGCTCCAAAAACCAGTTGTGTTTTATAGAACTATTTTATTTCTGGTTCATTTTTAATAGACCTCTCGACATTCAAGGACAAAACGTGAAGTTGCAGAGAAGCAGACAGAAGGTGGCAAAGGTTTTTCTTTGTTTTCAGAAAGAAAATACAAGACTTTGGTAAGCACATATTTTCACTTAGCTGCAAATTGCTTTTGGACCTTCCAACTTAGTTCAGGGAATGTGTAATGGTGTATATATAGTAAAATAACAACATAAATTTTTGCGTTTATTCTGTTTTCCAAAATGCCAAGCTATATCAAGTGTAGTAAATGTATTAGTAAAGGTTGAAAAGAAGCCTAACAGGAAAATTGAGTGGAATGGGGAAGCCTCTTCAATTTTCCAGCAGTGTGGGGAGCGAATCCTTTAAGCTGGATCTGGCTGCTCCTTCATGCTTCAGAGGTAGGGCTCTAACCTGTCAATCAGAGATCAGATCATTCAGCTTGCTTCTAAATGTCAGGAGCTAGGCCTTATTTGTACTGTAGAAGTAGATGGTTCCATCTGTAAGGATGGGCCATGTTAGATATTTGGCTGATATTGTGGTGGCTGTGCAGGTGAACATTTCCCTCTTATCCCTTTTGAATAGTAGGAGCTGTCTCCAGAGCTATGCAGTTAGATTACACTCTTAGCCAAACAAACTTTTGTGGTCCAGAACTTTGTCATAAGCAGCACTAGAAAGGTGGGAATGTGCCTTAGGATGGCAAGGTTGAGGAACCAGGCGCAGACTGAAGGATTCACATACACAGACACACATATATACAATTGCAGAAAATGAATTTTCACAGTGACCATTTTGCCCTATTAGAATCAGTTTTGCCTCAGAATCTCCCTTCTATTGTAGGATAGTTGGCAGAAACGGTAAGCGATTATATAAATATTTGGTGTATTTTAATGCAGGAATGCAATGCGGAGGCAAATTGTGTCACCATAAGGTGCCCCTTGCAAGGTTTGGATAGCAAAGCTTCCATCATGCTGCGTGCAAGATTGTGGAATAGCACTTTTCTTGAGGTATGTTCTGTTCATCTATTTAGCATAGATTTGAATTCTCTCTCCTCTGTATATATTTGGTTTTTCTAACTAAAGCATTTCTTCTTTCCTCTTTCCCTCACTCCCTCACCAGGAGTATTCCAAAATGAACTATCTAGACATTCTTCTTGAAGCTTCAATCTTCATTGCTGCTGCAGATAATATTAAACTGGAAAATCAAGCTACTCCTGTGAGTCCAAAACATTTCTTTGATTATCATGGCTATATATTTGATAAACTAGAAAGTGTTTCTATATTGGAAATTAGTGGAGTGTGTCCAAAGCAGCGCACACAAATGGCTGATCACCTCCAGTTTCAAAATATTAATAGATTCGTTGTCATCTGTTAGCACTCAAGGACTTCATGATTTTGTCAATTGGTTTCCAAAGGGAATCCATAGTTCCAGGAGACAAACTTCCATGCTTTGCTATTGAGAACTGGTAAAATACCTTTAAGAAGGACAAAGGGCCGTATTGGCATATTTCACAGGTCCACATTGTTTTGGTTTTTTTCCAAACTGTAATGTGTTTTGGGGTGTGGAATTTTTAAAAAAACCACAATAAAATTTCATACTACAGATAGTTAGAAGAGACCTCATGGGCTATCCAGTCCAACCCCCTGCCAAGAAGCAGGAAAATTGCATTCAAAGCACCCCCGACAGATGGTCATCCAGCCTCTGTTTAAAAGCCTCCAAAGAAGGAGCCTCCACCACATTTTGGGTCAGAGAGTTCTACCCCTGAACAGCTCTCACAGTTAAGAAGTTCATCCTAAAGTTCAGGTGGAATCTCCTTTCCTGTAGTTTGAAGCCAAACTGACAAATTTCATTACTAATTTCATTCAGTCACATATTATAACATAAAGTGTCAAAGCAAGTTGTGAAAAAAAAACCCTACATGATGTGGCAAATCTGAGATCATTTTTGAATTTAGAACACCACATTCCTAAAAATGTATTTAAAAAAAGTATTATGATCCTCCATTTGTAGACCTGTGGATGGTCTTTGGGCTCTTATATCCATTTTCTCTCCGAAGAGTTCAAGGCAATATAAGAAGTCCTCTTCAATGTTAGTTAGGTTAGCCTGAGAGGTAGTGACTGGCTCAAGATTGTGCGGTGAATTTCACTGGAATTTGAACTATGGTTCAGCGTGTGTCATAATATCCTATGGAGGCTGAGCAGTGAGGGTGCCTTGAGCCTTGAGAATTCAAGCTCTTTCCCGCAAAATCTGTCCCTTCCAGACTTCTAAGGTTCATGTTCCTCTCTATGGCCACATTCAAGAGGAACATTCAGACTGAGACCTAAAAGTTTCTGATTAAGTTTCTCACATTCCATAAATATGGGTAGGAATTAAACAACAACACTTCTGTTTACATATGCTAAATGATCTCTGAGCAAATGTAACATTGTCTACTGTAGCCTAATAATTCAAAGACAGTCTTGTTTGGTCTGCAATTTGACAAGTTCCCAATATGTTGGGCCACGGCACCCATTACCACAAGTGGAAGTTACTCTAGATTATCCAGGTTTCAGAAGAAAAAAATATGCAAGAGTCTCCAGTAAACTTCCAGCAGCTAATGTCCTAACTGGTGATATGGAGAGTCATCATCTAACCATTTTGATCACAGTGGATAGGCAAAAACAGCAGATTCGGGGTATAAAATGGAAATGGAAATGCACCATTTGAACAAATGAAATTATGTCCTCTCTAATAACATATATGTATACTTTTCCTGTTCTCTGGCAGGTACGGGTTACTGTCTTTCCCGCTAAGACGGTGGCATTGTATAAAGGGGTTCCTTGGTGGATCATCTTAGTAGCCATCCTTGCTGGATTATTGATGCTCGCTTTGTTGGTCTTTTTACTATGGAAGGTGAGTTATTTTACGAATGTGCTGGTTAATATTTGTACACATATTGTTTGAAATCTGCAAACACATAATATTATAAAAATATTATTTTTGCAGATTGAAAAAGACCACTAATAGTTCGGTGTAGGGCAGAGATGAGCCAAAGTGTGCCCTCAAGGGTCTATTGTTTCTTTTCATTAAAAATTCCTTGCATACTCTCTAGGAAGCTTGATAGGCAATTCTATAAAGTTTTCAGTTCTGCCTTCTCTGGGATATTTTAGACAGAGTAGTCTAAAATCTCTGTCAACCTGGAAGTAAGCCGGAAATTGGAAAACTGCCTCTCGTGACAATGTAACAGCTCAGAGGAGGCTCCAAACGTAGTTACATTTCCCTGCTCTAGGGATGTGAGAGCATTTTTGATCCCCACCAAAAGAAAACAGGTAACACAATTCAGAACTGAGAGGGCTAATGAGTGTTGGGACTTTCCATGTATGTGGACAAATGGGGCCCTAGTCCTCAGAGGTTGCCCATCCTTTGTTTAGGGATATACGTTTTAAAGTAAATGCTAAGAAATCCTAAATATTTGGGCTGGAAGCTACCAAATGGTAATTTTAAACTCACTTTGTTGTTGTTACCATAGTTGTTGTCATCATGAACCAGAGCAAGGACGGGGATTGTATTGTATTGGACTACAAGTCCTAGCGTACCTAGATAGCACAGCCAGTGATAACAATGCTGGGAGATTGCTTTCGAAAAACATCTTGAAGATCGCATGATTCCCACACCTGATTAAAGATTCATATTTACTTGGAATTGTAGCAAAATAATAATTTGGAAAACTTCCAAAGTGGATTTGAGGATGGCACAGCAGACAGTGGAGAAAGGAGTCCATTCTATCAGCAGGACCCATTGAATTTCTGGACAGACACTTTTGGATGTAAACCCATATATGTGTGAAATGTTAAATGATGAAATCTAAGTGTTCACATATAGCCTCTATTTGCATGGCTATAAAGGCCAAGATGTTGAAATGGGCAAACATCATAAAGGAGACTGTCTCCAGCTAGGTTTCATTAGGTCTATGTATATCACTTAGTCAAAGTCTCTCTCTCTTCTCTCTCTCTCTCTCTCTCTCACACACACACACACAATTTTCCCATGTGAAGATGCCTGTTGGGATTCTTACAATACTCAGCATTTTTCCCTCTTCCTACCTTAGTGTGCATGCAGCTGTCAAGACATTATAAGGTTCCAGTGCTTCAATCCCTCTTAAGTATTTCAAGTTATTTAAGTCCTGGACCTTGGCTTGCCTGAAATAAAAGAGATATAGAGCCTTTAAGGATTTTATTTTGTCCACAGATACTTTAATTTTTTTACAGCAATCAATATAGTGGTTGGATCATTGATCAGGTTGATGTAATATAAAGTTCTACCAGATGGAGCTCTGTCATATCTCCACTCCAACTCAATCTTTGCCTGCTGCATCCCCCAATGGAGCTATTTATTGTCTGGTTTACAGCAGGGTGGAAGCAGCATAGAAGAATCCAGCTTCATTCCCATGATGAACACATAATGACCAAGACTTCCAGCAGTCTCAGAGATTGACATAATTGTTGTGTGTCAGCTATAGCGACATAACTAAATGCTTCTCTGCTAGTGTCCCTTTACTTTCCACCTGTCAGTAAAAATGGTCATATTGAGGAGAGGCTGCAACAGGTAAAAGGAAGTTTGGAGTGGAGAACGTAGTCATTGTGAAAGATTGGTTGAGAGGTCAGACCTTTATAACAATAACAACAATCACAATTGACCCAAAGATAAATAATAATAGTAGTATGGGTTGCTGTGAGTTTTCCGGACTGGCTGGCCATGTTCCAGAAGCATTCTCTCCTGAGGTTTCACCCACATCTATGACAGGCATCCTCAGAGGTTGTGAGGACTGTTGGAAACTAGGCAAGTGAGGTTTAATATCTGTGGAATGTCCAGGGTGGGAGAGAGAACACTTGTCTGTCTGAGGCAGGCTGAAATCCAGAAGCATGTGGACAATTTCAACAGAAAAGAGGTAACAATGAAAATGAACAAAATTTGGCTACTAGTATTAAAAAACTCTAGAATCAGGACATTAAATAAAGAGCAACACTCAGAAAACAGGGGGATTCCAGACAGGGAACAATCAGGGCCAGCTAACACCTCCCAACAAAGGAGTCCCCCAAGAAGGAAGCAGCCAGGCTTTGAAGCTGCTAGGCTATTCAGTGCTAATCAAGGTAGCCAATTGCAACAACCACACCTGCCTCAAACAGAGAAGAGTTCTTTCTTCCACCCTGGACATTCCACAGGTGTAGATGTGGGTGAAACATCAGGAGAGAATGCTTCTTAAACATGGCCATACAGTCTGGAAAACTCACAGCAATCCAGTGATTCCAGCCATGAAAGCCTTTGACAACACACTCATAGCATGTCAGCACATATTTATGCACACACACTTTTTCATTCCATCTCTCTTTATAATACCAAAATTGGATTCTCAGAATAATATCTATACTAGTATAGACAGCAGATAGACAATGAGTTCAAGTGTGCTGTTCCCATGTACTGAATATAGTTGTCAAACACTCAAAAATGGTTGTACACCTGCTGATAACGAATGCATAATCTATGTAACTGAAAGCTTAAAGCAGGTAAGAAGGTAATCAGGTATGGAAGAATCCTGATGAAAACTTGTTAACTTGGGAATGTTACTTTAAAGTTGTAAAATAATTGGAAAAAACATTTTAAAATGTAAATGTAAAGCCCTCGGTTCACCCTTTTATTTTTTGTTTTTCCCATTAGTCCATAATATTGACTAAAATGCCTTGCTTCCTTATAGTGTGGTTTCTTCAAGAGAGATAAGAAAGATCATTATGATGCCAAATATCACAAGGCTGAGATCCATGCTCAGCCATCTGATAAAGAGAGGCTTACTTCTGATGCGTAGTATTGATCTACTTCTGTAATTGGTAATTGATCAGTTTTTTGTTTGGATTTGTTAGCTGTGGGACATGCTTTTGGTTGCGGTGGCTAATGACTAGAAGCTTGCTGCATCTGTTCCATTAATTGCCTCGTTTTGGAAATGTCAATTTTTGCTTGCTTGCATTGTTTATAATAATCCCCTTTCTCAAAGCACGAGGATGCAAATTCTTTTGTCAATTCTTTTCTTCGTTAAAATATTGCCTATTTGTGCATTCTTCCTTGACGCTCTGAAAGTTTTTTACATAAAGTTGCCACTTAGATCCTGAATGCAGAAGGGAAGTGATCCAGAAAGCAAATGATACCCATAGGCAGTGGTTCTCAACCTGTGGGTCCCCAGATGTTTTGGCCTTCAGCTCCCAGAAATCCTAACAACTGTCTGGGATTTATGGGAGTTGTAGGCCAAAACACCTGGGGGCCCACAGGTTGAGAACCACTGCTAGGGTCTTTTTAAAACATACTATAGAAAAGGAAAGAATAATAAATGTTGCCAAATTGGTAGTTGCTTTTAAGTCTTCCAAGGATTCTAAGGATCATTTCCCCATCAAAAAAGTAATCAATATCAGATAAGATTCGGTGTAGCACTGCCTGCCAAAGACTACCAGTCAGAATCTACAAATTGCAGGGAAGCATGTCTTCAACTGTGATATGCAGAAAGTAGGCATAATCTATTGGTAGATTTCAAGGTGATTTGCAATAGGGCAAAGATTTCTGTCTTCCAGTGATCTCATATAATTTAGCATTTCACAGATGAAAACAGACACGTGTCACCAAGCGACATCAGAGTGAGGACAAAATGATAAAAGTAGTGATGAGGAAGAGCATACAAGCCAGGAGAGGCTGCAGTAGTCTGCTTTGCCCAAGTCTTCTGAGAAGGGCTAGATCCCCCCAGTTGAGATAATTCAGCACGCACTACTTTTTAAAATTTGAACTCAATTTTCAGCAATGGAAGTTATGTGAGGACAAAAGGGGAAAGTGCTGAGAGAGAAACCAAAACATTCAAAGGCAGCTGAAAAAGTGGCACTGCAGAGAATTATTCAAACTTGCCCCTACCAAATCAGACAGTTATGGGGTATAGGATGGGATTTGTGCATAGTTTGATAAGGCACCAGGACTCTTTAGCAGAGAAGCCTAACAGTCTTGTAAAACTACAATTCCCATGATTTCATAGTATCAAGCCATTTCAGTGAAAATGGTGTCAGACTGCTTCATTGCACACTGTTGATGCAGCCTTGGCTATATAAAATGTTTTAATATGTGAGGCTAAAATAGTCTTTGAGGCTCTCTAGTACAATTTATTTGTATGATAAAATGAACACTGTGAGGGAATGAACACTGTGACTGAGTTAACATTTACTTTCATATTGTGGTTCTGAAGCAAGAACTTCTCCTAGTGTTCACTGTGAAGAAAGCTTTTGCTCAGATTGACTTTAATGAGAAATAACTGGTTGGTACACATGCTTGAAACAGCAACCTTAAAAACATGTACCTTGTTTTCATACCAGTAGTCAATGAAATCATTTTAGACAATAAGTTTAAACCTGCCTATGGGATCTCTCAACACTTGTTGATGGGAGGCCATGCTTCTTATCATTTATACTAGGCAAGGGCAAACTTCAGCTCTCCAGGTGTTTTGGACTCTGGCTGGCTGTTAGGAATTGTGGGAGTTGAAGTCCAAAACACCTGGAGGGACAAAGTTTACCCATACCTGAAATATACTCATTTATAAGTCTTATCTCATGTGTAAGTCGAAGTCAGGTTTTGAATTTTATGAATTTCAGTTTGACCTGTGGTTAAGTCAAAGGTCGTTCCCTGTAGAGCGGAAAGAGTGAATGCAGTCCTACCAAGATGATGCCTCCATTTCATTTTCTGCATATTTACAAAGGCCAGAAGCGGCACCATGTCAAAAATTGCAGAAAGGGGTTGTTACTTCTTTTAAGTTTTCCCAGGATAGACTAAACAATTGCCTTCTGCCACTCTACTCATAAAAGGGGATGGTTCCTTTTTTTGGTAAGAGTTAAGTTGCAGTACTCACGTTGATCTGTGGATATGCTGACCCAGGATTTGGGATTGATTTAAAAAAAATAATATCTAGACTTATACATGAATGCACAGGGTAGGTCAACAAAAGCATGAAATAAACAAAAATGTCTGTACTAGTTAAGTTAGTAACCGTTGTGACCACAATCAAACAAAGAGTTAAATCTGCAGTCCCAGGAACAAGCTTATTGAACTCAGTGGCATTTACTGTCACAGCTAGCGTGTATAGATTTAAATTGTAAATCAATCCAGATTGTGGCCTACATATGTAATCAACAATTTTTAATCAGCCAGCAGCTTCAATAGGGCATGAACGATAACTATTGAGGTTTTTATTTTATTATAAACACACCGATGTTCAGATGTTAAATAGCTTTATTAACCACTAATGCATGTCAGAAGCCTTTACTGCAGTTGCTGTCTTTCCCAGTTAAAGGCTGATATTGATTCTCAATTTCTGTGGGAAGTTTACCTGGGGGGGGGGGGGGGGGGGGGGGGGGAAGGGGGATCACAGTTATTTTTCATATGCTTGATAATGTATTTCTCATCTGAAGCCTTGCTACTGCATGATACTTTGTGCTCCTGCAAAACCTGACCTGACATATGTCAAAGTATTCAATCTGCTTGGTAGATTGCCAAGATAGCAAATTTCATTACCTGCATTATGTCTGGAGAGGCTAACAGGTTAAAATCTAAGGGAAGAATGACAAATCCAGGGGTGACCTGAGCCCTGCTGATGTAACTGAGGGTCCAAGGAATGATCTGTGGCAGTGGTTCTCAACGTGTGGGTCCTCTGATGTTTTGACCTTCAACTCTCAGAAATCCTAACAGCTGGTAAACTGGCTGGGATTTCTGGGAGTTGTAGGCCAAAACACCAGGGGACAAACAGGTAGAGAACTACTGATCTGGGGGATACACTTACAGGTGTAGAGAGAACATGTAGATGCCACTATTTCATTCCTGGAGCATTAAAAGCAGTGTTAGAATGCAGAAGGAACAGCATTTTGGTTACAGACCCACAAACACAGAAGGGTGGCTTCCTTTTTGATACATTTCTCCAAGAAATTTCAGTTTCCTGAGCTCCTATTAGCACTGCCTCTGTAGCAAGGATGGGAAAAGTGCACCCTTGGACCACATGGGACCACCGGGTTGTTTTGGGTGGCCCTAAGGGTAAAAATGATTTTTTTTTTAAAATCAAGGAACAGGACTATACAGGGTTACTGGAGTTGTGTGAGCCTATGTGAGCATTCACACCTCAATCATTCTTTTACCCCCTACATATAAGCTGAATATAGGACTAATGGTGGTTTGATTTGGGACTACCAGGATTGTTTTTATAATTAAGAAGGACATTGATATTGATCTATTAATCCAAAATCTAAAGCTCTCCTTGAACTTTACTGGATAAGATGTATCACCATCTTAGCTCAAAAATCAATTTCTCTCTGTATGTCTGAAAGATCTAACATTAATGGAAATTTTCTGCTTGGGATGCACTGTTTGCTGTTGCTTGGCGCCATATTTGAGCTTTCACATCTTGCATCTTCTTCTCTCTTTAAGGGATACCATTTACCTTCTGTTAGTGGAAGGACAAATTGGCATGTACTAAAATACGTGTTTCTTTCCCTTCCCTTCCTTCAGTGTGGATTTTTCCAGCGTTCCAGGTACGATGACAGCATCCCCCGCTACCATGCTGTAAGAATTCGAAAAGAGGAAAGGCAGATCAAAGATGGAAAACCGAAAGTGAAAAAACAATGGATCACAAAGTGGAGTGAGAATGAAAGCTATTCCTAGGAAAACTCCACACTCTTCCAGCACCAAAAAACTCAAATGGCCTTTAAAGTGTCATTGATTCAAACAGTGGATTGATTGAGAAAGACTAGTGTACAGAATTGGCTGCCCCTTTTTTGTAGATATTTTAACATTTATTTCAAAGCTTTTTGTTTTGTTTTACAGATCTAAATGTTAAGCCTGACTAAACGGATCTACTTGTCTTATTTAAAGCCCCCACTTTAAAAAACAAACAGGTTTTATGTCCAGAAAGTGAGAGAGGTGCGTGCAGGAGGAGTAAAATGAAAGCCCTAACATTTCTTTTTGTGGAATAGACCTGAACAGGGCCTCCCAAGTAGTGGATCTGTTTTCTCCCAGCTCATTTTTTTGTATCCAGAACCCTGGATGTTTATTATCTGCTTGTTGAGATCCCCTTTCCTCCTCCATTATTTGCAAATCATACATAGTATCAGCCAGTGGACTTCAGAGAAAGAAAAACAGCCCACCCATGGCCAGCAGAGTGAAACTGAGTATATGTCCTCAGTGGTTTTTGGCTGCAGTCAAAAGAGAAATGGAACAACTTGACTCTTCACATGGCTCAGCGGAGCCCCCTTCCAGAGAATGAACTATGTTATATGTCTAGTCTTTCTGAATCTCCTATTACGTTTTCATTCAACCTGTCTAACGTTCCTGAATCCAGTGCTGATCCCCACTCCAGCCTATATACAAGATCATGAGAAATATAGGAATGTTCCTATATTTCAATTTGCTGATTACTGTTATTTGAATGTGGCAAGGGAAAACAGTTTATCTCAAGTTGTGTTTTTTTATGGTTGGGAGTAATATCTTACTATGAGCTGCTTCAGGTTTATTTGAAAAATTATTTTGGGATTCCTGCTTGACAGAATTTTAAGAGCTCTCTTTCCTTTCCCAATTAGACTGCCTTAGAGACATGATTTGCATTTCCTCACCTTCTAAGAGGTCTGTTTGTTTGAGGAAGTGTTATTGTCAATGAATGTCTAAAATGGAAAGCAGGTTTCCAAATCAGTCCGATTGTCTTCCTGACTGATATCCCAATTCCAAGCCTGGAGGATGCTCCTAGAAAGCACTCAGGAAAGCTATCTTTTTGGACTGGAGCTCCCAGTAGCCTACAACTACTGTAATCTTTGAAAAGTGGCCTCTCCAAAATCTGATTCTCAGGCATATGGAAGATGGTTGTGGTTATTCAGAGGTATTCTGTACCCAACCAGATTCCGTTATTTCACATTATTCAGATAAAGCCTTGGCACTGAAATCAACCTTGGTAGGGCCTGGCTCAAACTCAGTCTTTGTCTAGGCAGTGGTTCTCAACCTGTGGGTTCTCAGGTGTTTTGGCTTACAGCTCCCAGAAATCCCAGCCAGTTTACCAGTGGTTAGGATTTCTGGGAATTGAAGTCAAAACATCTGGGGTCTCACAGGTTGAGAACCACTGGTCTAGGGTCTTTTTAGGGGAACAAATGGTAGTTTGGATTTTGAAAGGCCAGGGAAAAAGAAAGAAAGAAAAGAAAACCTTATATTTGACCAGAAATTAAGAATTCCCTTAACATATGTACAGCTTTGATGTTTTTGGTGGTGTTTTTTTTCTGTAACAGATGTATATGAGTTCCTCTTAAAAGTATATGGGATGGATCTCAGCTATGGGGCTTTAAATTAAGACTTGATTTACTAGTAGCATTAATTTCCATGGGAACAAAATCAGCCTCGGATCCAATCCCATATTTACAACAGAAAATGCAAATGCGTGTGGCTTTGTTTCTAAGTGAAAGGTGCTGAGGTTCAACTTTGTCTGGACATCATACTCACATGGAAGCCATTATTTTTAATCTATGGATGTATACAGACTAGCTGATGTTTTATAAGTAGAGGTGCCTTGGCAGTCTACATGTATTCAAAGCACTCTTTCCTTTTACGTGTTGTACCAGTCATAGAGTGGGAAAGCAAAGGAGTTAAGCCATTACAACTCCACAACTCATAAAACTATTGCCATTGTATACAGTGGTGTTGATGTATGTTTTTCAGGTGAACATGAGATCTCTAAATCTGCTCATTCCTTCTCTTAAAACTTGTATGTAGCCATAGGAGTTAGTATGATCTTAAATGTGCAATAGGACATGTTTCAATAATGTTTTTAAAATCAGTTTGTGTGAAACTGTTGCTCACACCAAATATACACAGGTCTGTTTTTTTAAAGCTTGAATACTGGTTGTACTTTTTGTGTATACTGTAAGTCATTCTTATATATTTATTTTTACTACAAATCTTTGTCTTCAACTAACGGTTAAGCCAAAGATTTTTAAATAGATTTCAAAACTAGTGAGCAATAGCATTTAAATGAGTACAGAATTATTAACAATGCAATCCTCTGGATGCCTACCCAGAAATCAGTCCCACTGAATTGATTGTGACTTAATTCCAGGTATGTGTCTATAGGATTGTAGCCTAAACAGGAACACTTTCTGCCAAATGTGCCAACAATTAAAGCTATGAATTCAATGACTAAAACATTCTAAGAAAGCTGTTCTTTACATATTTCTGATTGTGTAGTAAAGAAGTGTTTTTATCTTCTAAATAACTGTGCACTAATGCATACTTACAGATGTTTTATCTATAGATTTTTTATATGACTAACTTAATGGAAAATAAGGCAAAGTACTCATTGAGGCTGGGGAATGGGAAAGGTTTTCTAAAACTGGCTTTGGACAAGATTTAACTACTGCAGATGTTATAGCACTTGAAAGAAAAAATAAGCTCCAAAATGTAACTATGGATCAGTACAGATCCAATGTTAAGACTACTGAGTAAATGTCCTGAATACCTACATTTCAGTATAGTTCCATATGCTTTTGCTGTTTAATACTTTGTTACAATCAAGTATTAAACAGCAAAAGCGTATGGGACTATTTGCAGTGTTTTCAAGCTACATCTTTAAAAATATTGGTACTGTTAAAGAATTACAAGTGTGCTGTAACATTTACGGCATATGAAATACAGACAAACCTTACAGCATGTGGATGATATTTGAGAAGGGAAGAAAACTATGCAAATCTTTAAATATTTACCTTCAGAAACCACGATGCTTGTGCTCTGTGGTAACACTACAACTGATTTCTAAGGTTCAGTTTCTGGTTATTAATTTCAGTTTTCTGCATTCCACTTTTTGTTTGACCTAACACAGTATACTAAATCTTGATTGTTTTTAAAGCTGCTTGTTAAATGTGGAAATTGTCTGTCACGTTATTGTTCTAATGCCTGACACCATTGTACACCAAACACTACTGCTTTCTATGTCCACCTCCTCTGATTTGTTTAAATGGAGATGTCACAAAATCACCATGTCAATTCTACCCAATGGTAGGTTGAACCTTATCATTTAAAATCCCTTCTCTGTACTTTGACTTAATCACTTGAAAAGGTAAAACTTTGAAACACTGCTGCATCTCAAAAGAAACAAAGCAAAATACTCATAATTATGACTCTGGTGCCTTGTCAAAAAGAACAAATATATAGGCAGTGTTAAATTAGGATCGGGAATAAGGTCATCTCAAGTCACATCACTGGTATATATTCACTTTTTACACTGACTGTTACTAACATCTCATGTTAAATCATGGCTAAAAATGACCTGTGGACATTTCTATAAAAACGTGAAAATAAATTTTGTATTAAAAGCTCTTTCTCTACTGGCAATCATTGTTTACTACTGACATGTTTTTAATTTCTTTAAATGAGGAACAAATATTTGTTTCAGCTACTTTACACATACATTTTACATAGGAAAAGCGTAACCAATGCAGGGGCAGTTACATTTATCTGGCATTTACAGTGTACAGGCAATCCCCAAGTTACAAACATGATTTAAATAAGACTCCTAGTTATAAATGGAGGAGATGCAACAGGAAATGAGAGGGAAATTATCCCTGGGAAGGGAAATTAATTCCCAGAAAAGTTATCATGGGGAGAGGGTGGCTCTACTGAAGCTTTATCACCAACCCTTGTTTCCACAACAACTCAAAAATTTCAAATTTCAAATGTCATAGGATTTTGTTGATATGTGGCCAAGGGTAGCCCTTGTTAGGACTACCATACAACATTTTCAAAGAAGACAAACAAGTGCATTTGGTTGGTGCTTGAGTATTCTGGGCTCAAAGTCCTGTCTACAGTAACAGACTACTTCCTAAGAGTCTTCCCATATACTCATTTAAGGAAGCATCCTAAGCAAAATTACTTAGACTTGAGTAACAATGTCAGTGGATGTTCTTTAGAAAATGTGTTTAATGAGGGAGCTTAAGACCAATCAACCTTAAGCACAAACCTCAGTATTAAATTTGAATATCTCTTATACAAAATGCTTGGAACCAGAAGTATTTAAGATTTTTGGAAAACTTGTATTTCCATATACAGTACAACCACCTTGTCTACAAACTTGATATTTGTGGTTTCACTTATCCATGTTCCAAAAAATCTAACACCCCTGAAAGGTTTGCGGGCTTCTTTAGGTCCTCTAATGCAACTGCATGATATCTTTCCTATCCAGTTATAGTCAAAACACTGGATTTTCAATTATTCGTGGTTTCTAGTATCCATGAGAGCCTTGAAATGTATCTCCTATAGATACAGAATTGTAGTATATGTACAAAATGAGATATTTTGAAGATGAGATCCAAGTCTAAATATGATTTATTTATGTTTCATATATACACATAGCATGAAGGTAATTTTATACAATATTTTTAATAATTTTGGGCATGAAGCAGTTTGTGTACATCAGAAAGCAAAGGTGTCACTATTTCAGGCACCCAGTGGACAAATTTGACTGTTGGGGAATTTCAGATTTTGGAATTTCAGATAAGGGTTTCTCAACCTGTATGAGAAACAAATGGAAAATCAGTCACTTAAAAAATAAAAAGATAAATTAGTGATAAATGCTTTCCTTGGTAAATTTTAACATCAAGTGTCCAAACATACAAGCCATTGCAAGGAGGAAAAATGATGAGACACTTCTACCACCTTTTCATAGTGACTGGCAATGTAATTCCATGCATGATTTTATTCTGCAGTAGGTACCCGTGTGCAATAAAGACACTACTACTAGGAACAACAGGTATGGCCAGTGAAGGCCTTGAGGGAGAAGAGATACACACTCTCACATACAAAGCAGGACAGTGGGGTGCCACCACTGTATATTAAACATTCCTTTGCTGCCGCCAAATATTTATTTGTAACACACACTCTTCACTCTCCAGAGAAGCAGTTCCCAAACTATGTTTAAAATTTAAAATGAATTTAAAAATAAATATTGGTACAAAGCCAACTATTTGATTTACCGTCTCCATAATTTTGAATGACAACTGTAGCTCTCAAATATGTTGTTGCCAACTTCACCTTTCAACATTTTATTTGCCACCTGAACAAGAGTGATTCACACTTAGTCAATTTTTCATGTTGATTTGATGTTTCCTTTTTTTTTTTTTAATCTTTCTTGTAAAGTTTTTGAGATGAAAGACATCTGGGATATTGGGATATTATTCATTAAATATCAAGAATTTTTACTCCAAAAGTAAATGTTATATAGGAAATTGGGAAATGTATTTGAATTAGCATAAAATAATTCAGTATATATATTTTCATTAACCAAATCAAAGATAAGAGTCAGGGTTCCATAGAAAATTAATGTCTTTTGAAGGCTTCCATGACCAAAAAGGTTTGAAAAACACTAGCCTAAGGGATCGGCCACACTGCAAAATTTTAGCAAATTGAGACCATTTTGACTGCTGTGACTCCACCCAATTGAACTTTGGGATTAGTAGTTTGTTGTGGCATCAGAGTTTTCTGACAGAGACAAGTAAATATCTCACAAAGCCATACAACTCAGAGTTTTGTAGCATTGCGCCTTGGCAGTTCATGTCATCAAATTGCTTATAACTCTGCACTGTGAACACAGTCATGGTTATGTTAATCTGGAGGATCCCTGGTCAATACTTCGTTGTCACCCACCCAGGTGGACACTTTTGGAATCTGGAGCATTTTTCATTTATTTATTTACCTATTTTCTTATTCCTGGTGGGGACTCAAAGCAGTTCACAACAAAGTAAATGGCAAAATTCAATGCCTTACACATTATAAATACATCATATAGTTTAAAAAAGCATATAACAATAGATTAAAACTATAAAGCATAAACATAGGATATAATCAGCATAAAGGTTAAAACATTCAACATTGCACCAATCCCAAAGTTATCTTAACTACTTGATCGTCCTCTCCAAATGTGTACTTGAAGTAGTTTTAAGTTGTTTCCTAAACACCAGGAGGGAGAGGGCCAATCTAATCTCGCTGGGGAAGGTGTTCCACAGCTGAGGGGCCACCACCGAGAAGGCTCTGTCTCCTGTCCTCACCAGCCACACCTGCGAGGGCAGAGGGACTGAGAGCCGGGCCTCCTCAGCCGATCTTAATGCTCTAACTGGCTCATAAAGGGAGATGTGTTCGGATAGGTAAGCTGGACCAGATTTCCAGATAAAGGATGCTAACCTGTGCTATCTCCTCTCAAAACTGAAACAAATGTGAGCAAGAATTTACAAGGTGTATGTCTGCACACAGTGAGCACTACGGCCAGGAACTATTTTCTGTCCTTTTGTGATGCGCAATGGGTGGTGGAGGGATCTAGCCCATTCCAGTAAGTGAGGCAGTCCCACTGGTTTCATGCTGTTTTTTTAACCACTCCCACTATTGCTGGAGCTTTGGGAAAGATGAGGAATAAAGATTGGGGGAACAGGTAGATGGAGAGACATTAAATATACCTCCCCATAAGTGAAGAAAGGAACAATTGGGAAATCTGGTGAAAGAAAAACAAATCATTGCTCAGATTTTTTCAAAGCAAACAAAGTAATTTTGATGAAATATTCACATACAAAACATGTTCCCAAGTTAGATAATAGTTGACTGAATGAGGGATGGAGGGACAGTTATTTTAAACTGCAAATAACCCAATACAAAGTAGGGAAATAAACCCTAACAGCACATGTAAGGAAGGTCAGAAACCACATGATTTTGATCCAATGACAATCAGATTATTAGAATCTGAGGCCCCTTCCACACAACTGAGCCATGTGGACTCAGATAACCCAGTTCAAAACAGATACTGTGGATTTTCGGCCTTGATATTCTGGGTTATATGCCTGTGTGGAAGGGCCCCCAGGTTTTCTGTTTATCCCAGATTATCTGACAGTGGTGACTCATATAATCCAGTTTAAAGCTCCTGGGATATAGGGCCTGTGTGGAAGGGCCCTGAGACTCATTCTTTGCCAAAGAAGTGACACCATTTTATCTGCCAAGGATGAAAAGTTATGCATGGAATTAGGGCAGTCTTGCAAGGTTTTGAGACTTCTCTGCCAAACAGCATTGGGGCCCTTCCACACAACCCTATACTTACTTAGGCGATCCCTCGTTGGACGAGTAAGATGGTCTTCCATTATGGGTTTTCTTGTGGGTCCGCATGTGGCTGTGGAGCCCTATTCTTGCTCTGCCACAAAACCCCCACATTATTTGCTTTGAACTGGGATCTTCTCCCACAGTGAGGGCATTGGTTTCCAGGTGGAAGGCGGTCCCGGTCGGGGTTGGCTTGATGCGCCGTCCTCCTGGCACATTTCTCTCTTTCACCCTCCGCTCGTGCCTCCTCGAATTCTGCAGCACTGCTGGTCACAGCTGACCTCCAGCTGGAGCGCTCAAGGGCCAGGGCTTCCCAGTTACAACCCTAGTATAACCCATAATATCAAAGGAGAAAATCTCACAATATCTGCTTTGAACTGGGTTATCCAAGTCCACACTGCCATATATGCCAGTTCAAAGCAAATAATGTGGGATTTTCTGCCTTATATTCTGGGTTATAGGGCTGTATGGAAGGGCCTTCAGTTCAAACAGATGTTGCAGATTATTATCTGCTTTCAACTGGAATATATGACAGTGTGGACTCAGATAACCTAGGGCCCTTCCACAAAGCCCTGTATCCCAGAATATCAAGGCAGGAAATCCCACAAATATCTGCTTTGAACTGGCTTATCTGAGTCCACACTTAGATAATGTGGGATTTCTTGCCTTGATATTCTGGGATATGGGGCTGTGTGGATGGGCCCTGGATTATCTGAGATCTCTTCCACACTGCTGAACAAAAATCCCACATTATCTGCTTTGAACTGGGATAAATGGCAGTGTGGACTCAGATAATCCAGTTCAAAGCAGATATTGTGGGATTTACTAGGTTCTTGTAGGTTTTTTCGGGCTATAGGGCCATGTTCTAGAGGCATTTCTCCTGACATTTCGCCTGCATCTATGGCAAGCATCCTCAGAGGTAGTGAGGTGAGGATTTTCTGCCTTGATATTCTGGGTTATATATGGCTGTGTGGAAGGGACCTGAGTCGTCACTGCCATATATTCCAGTTCAAAGCAGAGAATGTGGGATTTCATTCCGCTGTGTGGATGGGGCCTTGTGCCTCACTGAGCGACAACACGACAGCAGCATTGAGCCGTGGCACTTACTCTGCGTGAAGCGTACAATGTAGACGCGCCCTCTGCCTGAGGGGGCGGAGGGAAGGGCGGGCTCCTTGCGAGGCCCGGCCCCTCGCCCTTCGAGCCTGGGAGACAGGCAGAGAAATGGCGGCTGGGACAAGCTGAGGGGAAGGAGGCAGGCAGAAGCAGCATCACCCAGAGGCGCCAGGCCTCCCCTTCCCTCAGGCCTAGCCATGAGGCTCCTGCGGGCACTGCTGCGGAGCGTCTCCCCAGCCACCATCCCTCAGCAGGTGGACTTCTACTGCCGCTTCTCCCCGTCGCCGCTTTCCATGAAGCAGTTCCTCGATTTCGGTGAGTCAGTCAGGAAAGGCAGGGAGGGAGGCAGGCAGGGAGGAGGGTCCCGCATCCTTCCTTCCTCTCCTCGCCCCACTATTTTCTTTCCCCCCTAGAGCAGGCCTGCACGACCTGCGGCCCTCCAGGTGTTTTGGACTTCAACTCCCAGAATGCCTAGCCATTGGGACAGCTGGCAAGGGCTTCTGGGAGTTGGAGGCCCAGACACCTAGAGGGCTTGTGCAGGCCTGCTCTGGAGTGTAAACAAGGAGGCCCTCCTCTCTCAGGACGTGGGTGCCTTGAGGGTGCATCTCCACCAGGCATGGGCACACCTGGGCCTTCCAGGTGTTTTGGACTTCAACTCCCACAATTCCTAACAGCCTCAGGCCCCTTCCTTCCTTTTCCCCCTCAGCCGCTTATGCGGCTGAGGGGGAAAAGGGGGAAAAGGAAAGGGCCTGAGGCTGTTAGGAATTGTGGGAGTTGAAGTCCAAAACACCTGGAAGGCCCAAGTTTGCCCATGCCTGCTTAATGCAAAAGAACCATGGGAGTTTATTTTATTTATTTACTGTATTTGTTTACCGCCTTTCTCAGCCAATTGGCAACTCAAGGCGGTTTCCAACAAATCAGTATACATAAAACATAATATAGATAAAAAACACTAAACGGTATAAGACATCACAAAAGCAGTAAAAACAACATCATCAGCGTCTCAGGCATTGTCCAGTTGCATGGTCAGGTCATTCGATTTCCTATATTAGCTACTCTGTATTTGTAAACGCTTGCTTGAATAGCCATGTTTTAATTTGCCTCCAAAACGTCAAGAGGGAGGGAGCAGATCTGATCTCCCTATGGGCGTTCCATAGCCGAGGGGACACCACTGAGAAGGCCCTGTCTTTTGTCCCCACCAAACGTGCTTGTGACAAAGGCGGGACCGAGTGCAGGGCCGCCCCAGATGATCTTAAAGTCCTCAGTGGTTCATAAGGGGAAATAAGTTCGGACAGGTAAGTTGGGCCAGAACCGTTTAGGGCTTTATAGGCCAAAGCCAGCACTTTGAATTGGGCCCGGTAGCAAACTGGCAGCCAGTGGAGCTGGCGCAACAAGGGTGTTGTATGCTCCCTGAGCCCCGCTCCTGTTAACAACCTGGCTGCTGTTCATTGGACTAGTTGAAGCTTCCGGACTGTCTTCAAAGGCAACCCCATGTAGAGAGCATTGTAGTAGTGTATACGGGATGTAACGAGAGCGTGGACTACCTTGACCAAGTCAGACTTCCCAAGGTACGGGCGCAGCTGGTGCACAAGTTTTAACTGCAAATGCTCCCCTGGTCACCACCGAGACCTGAGGTTCCAGGCTCAGCTATGAGTCCAGGATCACTCCCAAGCTGCAAACCTGCGTCTTCAGGGGGAGTGTAACCCCATCCAACACAGGATGTAGCCCTATGCCCTGTTCGGCCTTGCGACTGACCAGGAGTACCTCTGTCTTGTCTAGAAAGTTGAAAGTTGTAGCTTTCTCTATCCTCTAGCCTCTGCTAAAGACTGCTGGTGCTTCACCAAACTACACATCCTACGATCCCATAGCACCCATCCAGGGAGTTAAAAATAGTGTCAAATTGCATTCATTTTGCAGAGTTGAGGCCCCATATCACAGCTGACTAAAACTCCACATTTTTTGCTTTGAACTGTAATATATGGCAGTGTGGACTCAGATAACCTAGGGCCCTTCCAGAGAGGCCCTATATACGTATCCCAGGATTTGATCCCAGGTTTTCTGCTTTAAACTGGATTATATTAGTCACCACTGCCAGATAATCTGGGATAAACAGAAAACATGGGATACTTTTTTTCATGTCAGGAACAACTTGAAGAACTGCAAGTTGATTCTGGTGTGAGAAAATTGACTGTCTGCTAGGACGTTGCCCAGATCTTTTTGATGTTTTACCAGCCTTGTGGGAAGCTTCTTTCATGTCCCCGTACAGGGAGCTGGAGCTGACAGGGAGCTCTTCTGCGCTTTCCCCAGATTCGAACCTCTCACCTTTTGGTCTTCAGTCCTGCTGGCACAAGGGTTTATTTAACCCATTGTGCCACTGGGGACTCCACCTGGGATCAGATCCTGGGATATAGGGCCTGTCTGGAAGGACCCCCAGTTGAAAGCTCCAAGCCACCCCCTTTGGGGAGATGGTGCGGGGTATAAATAAAGTTTATTATTATTTATTAAAGCAGATATTGTGGAATTTTCTGCCTTCACATTCTGGGTTATATGGCTGTGTGAAAGGGCCTTATGATGCACAAATGCTATACTGTTTGACAGGAATGCTATACTTGTTTTACCCAGCTGCTTATGGTGTGCTTTCAAGTTGTTTCTGACCTATGTGACCCCAAAGTGGACCTATTACAGGGTTTTCTTCTCAATATTTGTTCAGAGTGCATTGCCCTTGCCTTCCTAAGAGGTTGAGAGAGTGTGACTTTTTCTAAGGACACAGTGGGCTTCTGAGACTGGTCTTCAAGGTTCAATACTCAGACTTTTCTGCCAGCCTGGCTCCTATCTACTGAATAAACATAGAATTGGGACTTGAATCACACTGGAACAAATTGAAGGTCATAAAAACTAGACCACAAATTATGCTGGTTTTCTAGGGATCTGATGTTCAAAATCCAAAAATAACTTTAGAGTCTTTTTGATTTCTTCCACCGGGTACAGTTCCCCCCCCCCCCCACAGCTTGCTTTGACAATTTGTAATATGTAACTTAAGATTTATTTGGGAGCAAACAGTAAGAAAAGGGCTCAACATTTCTAACAGACTCTCAAAACACTTCAGTTCACTGATATGAAACACAAAATTGGTTTAAAAGTTCCAGAAGAAATTGTGCTGGAACATCCGCATCTGCACTTAATCAAAACTGACACATAAACTGGTAAAAATATCAATTGTGAAAAAACCTATGTATTGCATGGCATTTTAATTGTGATTTTTGCACGTAGACTAAAAACAACTACAGTATTGAAAGTAGTTTTTTCATTACTTTTTTTTCATGCAGGAGCCCAAAGCCACTCCTGACCATTAGGTTGTACACAGCTGTTTCTAGCAGAGGAAATGGCAACAGCAGCTGTTCCAGAAAAACAACAGGCAAAGTGACAGAAGGCTTCGGAAAGTTGTTTGAATAGAGAAGCCTGGTATCACAATATAATTAATTTGATTTATTCAGTGCAATGGCTTTTAGCCTCTGGTCAGACGTCTCTGTTTCATGGAATAGTCTGATTTTTAATGTCTGTTTCTAATTTTGGTATTTAAAAAATCTGCCCTGAATAGCCCTTTTATCATATAATTGTGGTTATCAGTCATTGGCTCTAGTGTGCCAGTATTTCCTTTAAAAAACAACAACAGTTTTCCTATAAAGGTTCATAACCTGGGAAGCTGTAAATTAGGCCCAGGACACCCCCCCCCCCATGGATACCAAAATCCATGGATGCTAAAGTCTCATAATATAGGATAGTGTATTTTATATAATGGCGTTCCTTATATAAAATAGAAACATCAAGGTTTTCCCTTTGGAGTTTTAAAAACTATTTAATATTTTAATATTTTCAAGCTATAAATGCAGAATCAATAGATATGAAGGGATGACTGTATATATAAAGTGACGGCATGTGCAAACTTGTTAATCATTTCTCTTTTTCACACACACTTGCTGAAAGTTTCAGGTAAACATTCATATTGCTCCAGTTAAATTGGGTACTCGTTATCGCTGGAAAAGCAGTATTGTTCCATGTTGTTAATCTGCAAGCATCTGGTTTGCACTGCAGTTCTCTGTGTATTTGTTTAGAAATAAGTCCTGTTGAGTTTAATGGTGCTTACTTCCAGATACAGCTAATGGTTTTTTGCCTACAGATAAACAATGTCAGATTGCAGATTTGTTTTAACAGTCTTGTAAAAACGTTTCATTGAATGTTTTTTTAAAAAACCCCAGAGAAGATGAAGAGAGAAATTAAAAAAACAGGAAAAGACATCGAGTCTTCATAATAACAGACTGGGGATATATACATTAATAAAACTTGATCATCCCTGCTCCATGCCCCCCTGGATCTGGTGTTTGTACTTTTTAAAAAGTTGATATAGTAAGTCTATTTGTCCAGTGACAAATGCTTCAAATTACCTTTTCAGCTTTGGAGTGTATGTCTTTACACATGTATCCTGAATGTCCATCAATTAAGTTTCAGGTTACAGCAATGCACTGTAGCTGTAAAATACATCCATATCAACTTTTAAAAAACTGACACAACTGACTTGTGGTCCTCTAATTTGATGCAGTGCTATTGCAACACCACAAGTAGGGCTGGAATGGTAGCTAACAGCGTCCTAAAAATAGATCTGGAAGATTTCTCAGGATTTATTTGGATGTCATGCAACCATTGTGGTTTCTACATGCATGTCATTGCATTGTGAAGAAAAATCAGTCTCCTTAAATATTAGGAGACATGAAGTGGATATGTGTGATACAGATGAGACTGGAGATTCTGTCCTAAATTTAATGCACTCTGCAGTATTACCTCCAAATTGTTTTTATGCTATGATGTGAAATGCTTTGGAGCAGTTGTGAGTAGCAATTGCTGTTGTGGTGGCCACAGCGCACATAAAAATTTGGAAGGAGAAATATATTTCAGGTTAGTAGACTTAGTACAATTGCTTACAGAGCACACAGATTTCTATCTCAGCAAGGATACACTATTTAATATTTTCCCAATCGTGTTTAATAGGAACTGTTCTATAGAAAGCATATTGTAGTGTAGGACTATGACTCTGGAGACCAGGGTTCAAATCCCCACTCAGCCCTGGAAATCCACTGGTGACTTTTACAAGTCACACTTTTGTCAGCCTCAGAGGAAGGCGAAGGCAAAGTTTCTCTGAACAAATCTTGCCAAGGAAACCCTGTGATAGGTTCATCTTAGAGTTGCTGTAAGTCAAAAACTTAAGTTAAAGCACACAGCAACAGCTGTTTATTTATTTATTTGCTTTATTTCTATACCGCGTTTCTCAACCTAATTAGGCGACTCAATGCGGTTTACACAATGTAAATTAACACAACAATAACAATTAAAACACATCATACACAATAACAAAATACACAATTAATCATTCATAATGCCTCGATCACAAAGCAAAATCCAGTCTCATAATCCTTGTGCCATTCCTATGTTCAATTTACCGTCATCCTATGTTCGATTGCGCTGATTAGCCAAACGCTTGCTCAAAGAGCCAGGTTTTAACCTTCTTTCGAAACGCCAGCAGCGAAGGGGCCTGTCTGATGTCAATGGGTAGGGCATTCCATAGCCGAGGGGCCACCACCAAGAAGGCCCTGTCTCTCGTCCCCGCCAACCGTGCCTGTGATGCAGGCGGGACCGAAAAATAATGTCTCCCTGGAAGATCTTAGTGTCCGCGTCGGTTCAATGTTTTTCCTCATTTAAAAATATTTGCATCTATTCAGTATCTCTTATGTGAAATAGGTGGCGAAACATATACAGTATTTACCTCTGAGGTCTATTGATATTAAGCTCCTTTTCATTGATGTTATATTGAAGAATTTTGTTTAAATACTGTGGTTTGCTGAAGTTATGCATAAACACAACACAAGGATCTATATGGAGAGTACTATGTATGTATGGAGCCCCCGGTGGCGCAGTGGGTTAAAGCACTGAGCTGCTGAGCTTGTTGATCGAAAGGTCGCAGGTTCGATTCCGGGGAGCGGCGTGAGCTTCCGCTGTCAGCCCTAGCTTCTGCCAACCTAGCAGTTCGAAAACATGCAAATGTGAGTAGATCAATAGGTACCGCTCCGGCGGGAAGGTAACGGCGCTCCATGCAGTCATGCCGGCCACATGACCTTGGAGGTGTCTACGGACAACGCTTGCTCTTCGGCTTAGAAATGGAGATGAGCACCACACCCCAGAGTCAGACATGACTGGACTTAATGTCAGGGGACTACCTTTACCTTTACCTATGTGTTGCAAATGATCCAAAAGACGCATATGAGGCCGAAGAAGTACAGATTCCCGCCCTGCCAATCCAATCCCTGCAAAGTTTGTCTCAGTTAAGTGCTACCTGAGAAGAACTATCATATTTGAGACATTTTTTGTCTGTGGGAATTTGGAAGAGTGATACTCAGTAGAGGAAGATTTCTCTTGACCCAGTAACTTACTTTCCTAGTCTTTGTTACTACTGTGTTAAATAATGTGCCAGTTGTTTTCTCCAGAGATCAGTGTACCTTTATTCTCCAGTACTGGCAAAAGGAAACTATTTGAATGTGATTCTCTTCTGCAGAATATCTCCATGCTTGATAGGTCTTTAAAAATAATGTCTCCAGGCAACAAATAGTCACCTATCAGTCCATAACAAAAATGCTTAATATTGACAATTGAATTATATTTTAGCATATATGCACATAAGAGCATCTTGTAATATTCGTATCACAGGTATTTTTCTGAACACACATTTCTTTCTCCAATAATTTTCACAATGATATAACTGTACGATAGATAAAAATATATCCCAGGATCTATTAAGAAACAAATATTGTTGGCATCTGTTTATCACTATCCTGATCTGTTTATCACTGTTTTGTATAGAATCATTTAACTGTATGCAACTTCAAACCATTTTCTCCTCTCACATTGGTATTTCTCCCCCTAGGATCTGATAATGCTTGTGAGAAGACTTCGTTTATGTTTCTGCGACAAGAGTTGCCTGTAAGATTGGCAAACATTATGAAAGAAATAAGTTTGCTTCCAGATAACCTTCTGAAAACACCTTCAGTTCAACTTGTTCAAAGTTGGTAAGAATCTATTTTTTTAAAAACCCAAAACGTAAGACTAAATTGAAACCACAAGCACATACAGTAGAATCTCGCTTATCCAACATATTTATTTATTTATTTATTTATTTACAGCTTTTATATTCCGCCCTTCTCACCCCGCAGGGGACTCAGGCGGATTACAGTGTACACATATATGGCAAACATTCAATGCCAATTTTAACATACAACATATACAGACATACACAGAGGCTATTTAAGTTTTTAATCGTCCATCTGCGATGCTGATGAAGCACTTCCGCATTCCCGCATGCTTCCCCGCTGGAATGCTTTGCTGGAGTCTTCTTTATGGCCTCATAAATCAGTTAATTTAGCCTCCCCACACTTTTAAGGTGGTACCTTATTTTCCTACTTGACAGATGCAACTGTCTTTCGGGTTGCAAAGGTCGACAACAGGCTACACACAGCCAGCTGCGCCACAATCCTGGTGCCAACAAAATGGCCAACAAAACGTTGGATAAGCAAAAATGTTGGATAACAAGGAGGGGTTAAGGAAAAGCCTATTAAATGTCAAATTACATTATGATTTTACAAATTAAGCACCAAAACATCATGTTTTACAACAAATTGACAGAAAAAGCAGTTCAATACATGGTAACGTTATGTAGTAATTACTGTATTTGCGAATTTAGCACCAGAACAGACAAGAGTTATTTCTTTCTCCCTCCCTGGACATTATTCCAGGCATGAGGCAGACTGCGTTGGATAATACAGAACCTTGGATGAGCAAAGGTTGGATAAGTGAGGCTCTATCATGATATAGGCCTGAATCCAATTGTTGGATCCATATAGAGTAAAACCTACCCTGTCAACTTACATAAAACTTTTTGTAAATCACTTCGAATTAATGGGTCTGCTGAACTACATAAAAAGCAAGGCATACTGGGCATACCGATATGCCATGCCTATAAGGGATGGGGAAGATGGTGCCATAAGGCTGCATGTTGGCCATTTAAGTCAGTTCTTGATGTCCTTTGATTGCTGGTATAGTTTAACTGTTATGAATGTTAGCTATCATTCCAGGGCTGGACAACACAGCAAGCCTTTAATGGAAAGCAGAAAACTAACCTTCCAAATTCTTCTCAGTCATGTTAGAATGGGAGGGATGGAATAATGATATCCCTTTACATTCTTTCCAAAAGGGTAACCAAAGGGAAGCAGATGCTTGATGAGGATGATGTATTCCAGATGGCTCCAGGATACATTGTTCAGAAGCTTAGTATTCAGTGGGATTAAGTAGAAAATATTAGAAGGAATAGCTAATTATTGGAGAGTCAATATGTATGGCAAAGCCAATAATGCGAAAATTGTGTCTTTAGGTATGTTCAAAGTCTTCAGGAAATCCTTGATTTTAAAGACAAAAGTGCTGAAGATTCAGAAGCTGTTTCTCGGTAAGCATATTTTCCATGTGATTTTAATACGCTATAGAAATTGATTTTCAAAGATCTTTCTAATCTAAGCTTAAGATCACATTGGTATTTTCTTTGTCTCTTGATTACTTCCAGAGTATAGATACAGAATTACTTTTGTTCAGCTGCTGTACAGTAGTTTCTGATGGCATTTAGGTGATGTTTTTAGTGCAAAGTATATTGAAGAAGTCTGCAAATAAAAGGCTCTGGAACAAAGCATGGAAAATAGGATAAACTGTACATAATTCCTGACAAAATGTGTAGAAACATGCTTCTTTGTTGTCTAGATCTTGCAAGATTTGCTGAAGCCAATTAGCAGCAGTGTAGAGCCATTTTACTGTCAAGAAATTCTTTCTAATGCTCAGTCAGAATCTATCCTCATGTAACTTCAAACCATTGGTCCTACTGTCTGGGGAAACAGAGAACAGGCTGCCCTCTCTGTTTGGTGATAGCCCTTGAGATATTTAATGAACACAGTCATGTCACTCTTCAGTCTTCCCTTCACCAGGCAGAACATGTCCAGCTCCTTATACTTTTCCTCCTCATACACTTTGTTCTTCATACCTCTTATAATTTTTGTTGCCCTTTGCTCAAGCTGCTCCAACTTGTCTATATCCTTCTTAAAAGAAGCCCCTCAGAACTGAATGCTGCACCCCAGGTCTGACCCAAACAGAATATAGTCGGACTATTACTTCCCTCAGTTTGGGAACTATACTTCTATTAATGCAGGCAAAAATAGCATTTGCCTTCTTTGTTGCAATATCACACTGCTGGCTCGTGCTCAGTTTATGATCAATAGTAATACCTAGATCCCTTTTACATGCAGTCCTGCTGAGCCATGTATCTTTCATACTGTACATGTGCATTTGATTTTTGTGGCCTAAATGTAGAATTTTGAATTTTCTCTATTCAATGTCATTGTGTTAATTTCTGTCCAATTTTTGTGTCTAGATTGATTTCATAGAAAGTCCATGTTGTTTTTCAGTTTTACAGATACTGTGATAACAATACGGAACCGTCATAATGATGTTATTCCTACCATGGCTCAGGGTGTGATAGAATATAAGGACCACTATGGTGTCGATCCAGTGACCAGTCAGAATGTGCAGTATTTTTTGGACCGTTTCTTCATGAGTCGCATTTCGATCAGAATGCTTCTTAATCAGCATAGTAAGTATTATGTTATATGTTAGGAGACAACGCATGTCATGAATGAGAGTTACACATTTCAAAAGGAAGGAAAAAGCCTCCACCTCATATATCTGCTGATCTTATTAGTATCTTCCTATTCTATATATACTGGTTTTCTAGGTCTGTGTGTGTTTAAATTAATCTTCCCCCCCCCCCCCCCCATGTAAAAATCAGCTGTTCTTGTGGTCTGTAAATTGTGAAACCACTTTTCTTATCTTTTGTTGGCAGCTTTGTTGTTCGGGGGAAAAATAAAAGATAACCCAGCTCATCCGAAACACATTGGAAGTATTGATCCAAAGTGCAGTGTTGTTGAAGTTATACAAGGTGAGTTCTTGCAAGAAAATACACTTGATGACAAATAGGTAATAGTAGTTATTCACTATGTCTTCATCTTATTGTATCTGGTATGCAGATTTTTAGTTTGGTTGAAGTAATAATGCTGATGACTATCTCGGTGCCAAAGTTGATCCCAATTGTGCATTAAACTGGAATGATGGGACTTAGATTGTAGTTCTAAACTAGAGAAACAGGCTGTCGTCCTGATCACACTTCTTAGAAATCAGTCCTATCAAACTCAAGGAACTGATATCTAGGCAAACTAACAAATTATTCTGCAGTTTTTTGTATTTAGTAAATAATCTCCCAGAGTTTTTCACTTGGAGAATGATTTACTTGGATTGGCAGGGTACAAACAAAAGAGGAGCACATGGGGCCTCTGTCCTCTAGCAACTCACATGGTTTTGATTTTTTTTTCATGTCAAGAACGACTTGAGAAACTGCAAGTCGCTTCTGTTGTGAGAGAATTGGATGTTTGCAAGGATGTTGCCATGGGGACGGCTGGATGTTTTACCATCCTGTAGGATGCTTCTCTCATGTCCCCACATGAGAAGCTGGAGCTGACAGATGGGAGCTCACCTTGCTCCCTGGATTTGAAGCGCCGACCTTTTGGTCAGCAGTCCTGCCGTCACAAGGATTTAACCCACTGTGCCACTGCAATGGGTATCACACACTTTATTCCTCCTCCACCAAACCACTTGTTTACGTACAAAGGATTTATGTGGATCTATGGCAAAGCTGGTACTTAAGGACTAAGGCTGGCATTGTTTAATGACCTGTGTTTTTAAATGGTTGGGGGAGCTACAAGGGGCACTGATGTCCTTCATTGTAACCAAGTCTTAATCGCCAAACTCTCTGGCTTCTGGGTTTTGACTATGCGTTGTTCACATGCTTTCAGACTTAATTGTTCAACCATTACATGCTTGCTTTTGGAAAGTTAATAAACGAGTTAGCTTAGATTCCCTAGAAGTTGATACTGTATATTTGCCTTGACTCTCAGCATAATAATAATATGGTTAAAAGTAATTATTTCAATTGACTGAAATGTACATAGTGAACTAAGTTCAAATCCCCAAAATATTAACAGTAAAAACAGAAAAACTAAAATCCCCCCCCCCCCCAATATTTCTGTGGCAATATAAAGACTGCTGCTAGCAGTTTTCTGTAAGTTGGGAAGTGTTAACCTTGACAGAATTGTTCTGGCTTTATTGCAGATGGCTATGAAAATGCCAAGACACTCTGTGACTTGTACTATATGAGCTGTCCAGAACTTGTGCTTGAAGAGAAAAATGGTAAGCATGGGTAAAGTGGGGGGGGGGGTGGCTTACCAAAGGAAATCATACATGCTGGCAAAGTAGGATCTGCAGCCTTTCTAATGCCTCTTTAGTTCAGAACTACAAGGCACATTTAAGCCGTGTCTGTGATAATATGAATCAGCCCATTAACTGCTCCCCAGTGACATGTTTGCTCTCCAGGCAAGTATTGATCCTGGCACATAGCCTTTGTAGTTGTTAGATAAATTCCAGGGTCACGTACAGGCTAAAGATGTAGAGTGTTTAACACGTGCTCAGATTATATCCCATAGTGTGAAGTGTCGAGACACTCACATTATGAAATATGATATGAAGAGCCAGATGCAGTTCTTTTATCATGATTTCATGCATGAGTAAAATTGTATATTAAAGGATTGTTTGTTAAAAATACAGTTATTACACTGATCACTAGGCTCACAGTAATTTGGAATATGAGAAAAATACTTGAATGCCGAGGTATAGTATATTTCCTCTAGAATGTATGATATCACACCACAGCAATAAATTCTCCTACTTTCTCATTGTACCTGTTACACTGTGGGAAAGAGATTTTCTTCTCCCTGCTTCCTCTCTTGAAATGAGCTCAGAGTATATAGATTTTTGGGTCTGAGTACATTCTTTTATGAATCGCACAGATAATTTTGTTATCTGGGTTTTCTTTCATTGGACAGTTCTGAAAGGGGTAAATTGGGGAAAGCCATTGAAATCATAAGATTTGGTGGGTAAGGAAAAGCTGATGCTACACTCATTGGTTAGGATACTACTGAAAACATGTGTTGCAATTGTGTGAATAGGGTCAATATAAACACAACACAAGGATCTATATGGAGAGTACTATACAAGTTAGCTATATGTATAAAGTGGCATTCCTGCCTAGATGTATAAAAAAGTACTGATATTTTAAATTGATTAGTGTTAATCATTTAAATACTTACATTACATAGATGTTGCTTGGCTGTTTTTATTCTGCTAGACATCTTGGGTATTTTATACGGAAAGATAAGCTTTAAAATACTTTAAACAGGAAGACATGTAAACGTGTTCAGTGGTTATGGGCATGTGGTACAATAAACAAGGTTCATCTTCAGCCTACTTAACAGAGGTTTCTTAAACATGAATAAATGGTCTTAAGAGTTACAGAAAATACTTAATTGAGGTAATAGCTCTACCTTTAACTTACATCATATGTAAATAACATATTTTTTTGGTGTCAGGAGCGACTTGAGAAACTGCAAGTCGCTTTTGGTGTGAGAGAATTGGCCATCTGCAAGGACGTTCCACAGGGGATGCCTGGATGTTTTGTAAATAAGAATAATTTATAATCAATGTATTGTCGAAGGCTTTCATGGCCGGAATCACTGGGTTGTTGTAGGTTTTTTCGGGCTATATGGCCATGTTCTAGAGGCATTGCCTACAACAACCCAATTTATACTCATACTGCACAGAAAGGGAGCTTCATTCTTATGTTCCTATAGAAAATTCTTGCATAAGAAACAGTAAAGTTCCCGTGAATACCACCAAGTTTATAATGTTAGTTGCAGCCCTAATTTTCCTGTAAAAGTTTTAAATGTTTGTCACTTATAAGTCTCATGCACAATATATTAGCCTGAAGCCATGTTTCATTGTACTTGCATTGTAATATTCACATGAGGGACTCACCGCCTCTGGTGCCCAGAAACAATATTTTTTGGACACATTATGCTTTAAGTGCTGTGAAAAGGGGTTCGTTTGATTTTTAACAAGCAAAGAACAGAAACATTTTAGAACATAGCTTTTGATTTATGCCTTTTGCTAATAACAATCACAAGTACATTATTAGATTTGCCTTTTGTGCCTACAATCATATAAGAAAACATGCAAGCATCCAAATAAGCATGCAATTTAACATGATGTGGTTAGTGGTAGAGTTGTTCCCATTGAATATTTTGTAAATAAATGGGGAAACTTACAAGGAAACCTAATTACTGGATTTGAATTGCAGGGAGGAGGATTTTTGACTTGTGCTTTTTGAATAGCTCCAGATCTTCATGGCAACCTATCTTGAAAATCATGAGGTTTTGAATTCAATATTAGATATGTTTTGGTGACGGCGGTGGGTTTACTTTTCAAAAGATGGCAAAATTTGTAGTGGACACCCGTAAGCCCTGGAGTGTGCTGGGTAGTTATTTCTAAAATGGCTGCACTGTTTAATCATTCAGAGGCTTTACTTTTCATCCCCACTTCTTTGCAGTCAAGTCACCAGGGCAGCCCATGCAGGTGGTGTATGTACCATCACATCTCTACTACATGGTGTTTGAACTTTTCAAGGTTTGTACAAAGTTTTTGATGTATGTTCTATTCATCAGAGGGATGAGACAGTCAGGAAAGAGGAATGCACTTTCCTCACATTTAAATTTTTTTTAAATTTTTTTTCATTTTTGACAAGTGCCTGAAAAGAATACATGATGTATATTTCTAACCTGAATCCTCAAAAAGAAAGTATTCTGCTGAATTTTCCATTCCCACATTGTGCCCACATGCAGAGACACCATTCCTTTGATGGCAATTTCTAATAGTTTGATGCCCTCCCACTCCCACAGTGTCATTGTTATCTTCCAAGCCTCCAGTGAGCAGCAGTTTTTCTGGGAACACCTTGGTTGAGATTTTACATTGAGGGTAATGTTGCCCACACAGCCTCCCCCTGCCCTAGCAGCTCTCAAGCCTTGGAAGCAGTAGGTGTGGTGCTTCTTGTAGGAAGAGGGAAGAAAGAAGGTAGGAAACATTCAGATAATTGAGAAAATGGTTTCAGCTCAGTACTAGGGGAAGACGTGGCAAATGGAATGCACCTTCTTTTTCCCTCCCCTTATTTTTATCATGTGAATTGCCTCCTTCCCCTCTCCTCAGGTAAGCAGCAACCTCTCCCAGAGCTTGAAAGATCCAAGGGGCATTTTGCACGAATCACAAAGGGTTAGAGAATATTTCTCTGCACCCTGCCCCCCCAAAAATATTCAATGTGTGCAAGCCACACTTACACACATGTACTCGTATTTACTTGAGTCTACTGTGCCATCGAATCTAATATGCACCTCAATTTTCTAAACCCTGAACCCCCCCCCCCAAAAAAAAATTCAAAAAGTGCACCTTTTGCTGCTGTGCAAAAGGTGCACTTTTTGATTTTTTTTGTTTTTGTTTCAGGGTTTAGAAAATTGAGGTGCGTATTAGATTCGATGGCACAGTAGACTCAAGTAATTTTTTTTAAATATGCCCATCACAATTGTTGCCTGCATAGAATTCCCTCTTTAAAAACAATTGTGATGGAACACCAAAGCTTTCAGCAATGGAAAAGAAACAGTTATGAATCTGCTTTAACTGCCTTGGTTCAATGCTATGAAATCATTGGGGGGGGGGGGTGTACTTTTACAAGGCCTTGTGCTTTCTTTGCCAAAGAGTGAATCAAACTATAAATCCCAGCATCACATAGCATTGGGCTATGGCAATTAAATTACAGGTGACACTTCTCAAACAGAAGCTCCTGAAGCACCTTGCTTAGCACTAAGATTACCATATTATGCAAATCGAATGTGCACCCTAATTTTGGCAAGGTATTTTAGCCAAAAAAGCTGATTGTTAGATTCGAGTAAATACAGTATGCCTCTTGACAGGACATCATCATACAGCATGTAATGTAAAATTCCATGCATTGTTCCAAGTTTTTTTCAAAGACTTTGGCCCAAAATGTATAAATTACCAAAGGGCAAATATTATCTTCAACCCTAGTAGAGTATGCAAGAGTGAAATAATGCTACAGTGTTTTATGATTTAATTGATAATTGTATGTTATTATCGTTATGTTAGGTTTTTGTTTATGAGGCATTAAAATTTGCCATAATCATGTTGGAAACCTGCTGGGGGAGGAAAGAAGTATACAAGTGAAGTAAATAAGTACATAAATAAATAAATGTTAATCTGTCTTTAATATTTTGGAAATTTTAGAATGCAATGAGGGCTACTATGGAACATCACGCTGATCGTGGTACTTACCCTCCAATCCATGTGCATGTCACATTAGGCAATGAGGATTTGACTGTGAAGGTAACAGCTTTGATTAGTCTCAGCACATTATTTAAAAGAGTGATCTTAGCCATGTCAAATGGAAATATCTGCCACAGAGTCACCACTGAATCTAAAGCGTTGCTCAGGTGTGCGTACACCGAGTGAGAGCTAGGCTAGGTGAGTGGGATTTCTCAGATCTTTCAGTAGGCCATGGTCTTTTATTGGCACACCCTTTTTGAACCAGCACAGGCAGTCATGGTTTAGGGGCATACAGATTGGTCCGCTGTAATGCATACTGGGTGTGGTTACTTTGAGTGTTTTGAAGCATAATTCATTTGATCAACATTATGTTTAAAAGTTTCATTTCATAACTTTTGACCAAATGATGCTTGAGGTAGATTACCGTAGATTGAATTCATGCAGGAATCTATACAGTTCAGTACTCTCCACGTCAAGGGAAGGGGGAGAATAACAAATTGCTGGAGCTGAGTGTCTTTTCTGGTAGTAGGGAGGGAAATGAAGCTCCTTGTAACTGCTGCTTCTTATCTGATGTAAGGCCTCTCTTCCTTCATGTGAGGTTCTTTTCAGGAAGCAGGGAATGCAGGTTCCCAATGTCCTGCAGTCTCCTGATCAGAGTCTTCCCTCTGCAATCGTGGGACGGCTCAGTTGTTCTTTAGTGACAGTCAAATCAGCGTTTCAAATATTACTCCAATACTGATTCACATATATATTACATTTTCATTTCCCAGCTCAAGTGGAGTAGCAGATTCTTCCCTTTCAAAGCCTTACTCAGCTTAGCCTAAGAAACCTAGCTTGCCTATTCTTGTTTGTTCCTACAGTATTCTCAAATAGAGAGGCATTGTGGGTGAGGAGGAGAGCGATAACTTTCTTAGTGGCTTCCTCTCTTTCCACCAGTAGGCAAAGATTTTTCTGTATGCTCAGTCCTTGCAATGTTAACTGTTTGTTGCAGGTCTTTTAATTTGGCTGTGTTGCATTTGCATTTGCATTTTATCACCCTTATTTATCACCCTTATTCCACAACTGTGGAACCCATTATCTGTAATTTCACTTATTTGTGCCCAGGGGAAAATTGTCTCTCTAGCAGGCATGTAGCCGGGGGGAGGGGGGGGGGGCTTGGGGGCTTCAGCCCCCCCCCCCCGAAATTCTCATGGTGGTCTGCGAGAAGGCCTTACTGGTACATTATTTAAACTGTTACGTTTATTCATATCATGATCTGATCACCATGCTCAATATATCCCATATGCATGGGGGTATTGGGGTAACGATACAAAAGGTTTGCTAGGGTAGACCCTCTTTCACTCAGACTCAGCCCCCCGAACCAAACTCAGCCCCCCCCCCCCCGAAACAAAATCCTGGCTATGCGCCTGCTCTCTAGGAATTCAGTAGGTCCTCTTGTCAATTTGTAAGAATCCAATTGGAGGTTATGCTGAAATGCTTTAACCAGTAAATTACTTTAAGGGTTTGGGTTTTTTTAAAAAAAATCTTTGATCACTTGTCATAAATGTATACTTAGTCTTGAAACATTGATTAGTGGAGTGGATAGAAAATACTTTAAACGTATTTATTCATAAATGTAATCCAAAATTTTGTGACAGGAGGTGTATATTTTTCACCAGCCATAGAATCTGTTATATAAATCAGCCCAGGTCCTCATCGTCTCTCCTGCTGTCTGTTGAGTATGGCTGGAATTGAGTATCACTCCTATAGATCTGTAATGTGGATATACACATTTGTAAAAAGCATTTTATGACCTCCATGTAGGAGCAGCCTTTCCAAACCCTACTTTACTAGGCATCAGCCACTGGCAAAAGTGGATGATATTTCCACTCCTCTCCTGTCAACTGGTAAGGCTGGGACTATCAGATGTAGGACCCTTTTGCAGTCTTGCCAGCTGGTGATGAGGGGGAAAATATGATCCATCTATTTCCCCAATCGTTTGCAGATCAGATCTCCTTTTCTTGAACATTTCTGACCAGGTTGTACCTGGTCAGAAAGGTTGAGAGTGGAATCAGAGCAGGAGATGCTATATAGTTATGTGCATGTAGCTGAGTAGCCCATCTAGAATTCCAGCCAATATTCTTAATAAAGATTGAACTAGGGAATTAATGTAAATATGGAAATTCAGTTAAGTTCTTTCTTTCATATTCCAGATGTGTGACCGTGGTGGTGGTGTTCCTTTAAGAAAAATGGATCGCCTGTTTAACTACATGTATTCAACTGCTCCACGCCCTCGTGTTGAGACATCTCGAGCAACACCTTTGGTCTGTAGACTATATGAGTGCGAGCATTGTCAGATGAGAAAGTACATTAATTAATGCTTACTTTTTCTAGCAGAATTTTCATGTTCCTAGATCTACTGCTTGTATATAGATATGGGCTAGCGACAAATGAACTAAAGCTAGCACCCAGAGGAACACCTATTCCATAGGAACACCTATAACAATTTCAGTGCAAGGAACTTCATTGAAGACAATCATGGTGTAGCCAGATTATCTGTTACACCTGCAGAAATCTTTTCCCCACCATTTAAATGTAGATAAATGAGCAAGAAGAACCCCAGTGTTCTTCCAGTATTAAAACAAATACAGTTTTCAAAGACTATTCATAATTTGACATTTTGTGGTTGTTTTGCACAAAAACTAGAATTATCTGCACAAAACTAGTATTCTCTATGCCAGGGTTGTCAAACTCATTTTCACTGCGGGCCACACCAGTCTTATGATTTTCTTCAAAGGGCCATTGGATCCATGGATGGATAATTTTTAGGATTGCTTATTTTAGATTCTATTATCCATTGTTATTTTGGTTGATTAAACTATGTAACATGATTTTTGTTCCTGTGTTATAAATGTCATTTTCCAAATTGGTTCTATCAAAAAACATGGGAAAAGTTTATTAAATGGCAAAAACGTTTTTGTGCGACACCCTGCAGTACATTTTGCTATAGTTTTTCATTGAATATCTTGCGTCTCCACCAATTCAACATAGTTTGTGGCAACCACAAAATGAAGTTTCTGGAGTATAACAACTACTTTCAAAGAAGGCACTGCACAATTAAACAGGAGACAACAATTTCAAACCAGGAACAGATTTTTTTTTTCAAATTTTGTTCATAGTGTTATTGGAATAAGTTAATGTTTTAGTCGAACAAGTTGTGTGAGACATGAGTACAGTTGGAAGATGGGACTCAGAACTACCCGTTAATCCTTGACTTTCAAATCACTTCTTGTTGGATTTGAAAAAAATGCAAGATGGGGATTTTCTGTTTAGTTGCAAGTTCTCTGCCAACAATACTTCCAAATTCCCTCTTTATATATACTTTGAGAACAATGCTCAGGAAATAGAATACATTTCTCCTGTGTTCTTCCTGCTGATTGTTGTTCTAGGAATGGCTATTAACGCTTAATATTAGCTCCATTATAGCACAGGAAGCGGTAATATCTTAGAGCATAACTACTGCTGATGTTACGGCACTCACCCAACTCCTCTATTTATAATTGCTCACACAAGTCGAGGCATAATTTGGTGAACAGTGAAATTAAGTAATATGTATACCAGCTGTTGTGAGAGTTTACATAAACAGCTGAAACTGATGTAAAGGAGAAATTTAGAAGTACGGCACTGAACCCTATTTTTGTCTGGATCAAATTAATGTTGTCACTATGGATAAAGTAAGTGATTCATCAAATGGAGTTTATCTGGTAGCTTTCCCCCTGCCCCATTAAACACGTTAGCAGCCCATGCTATAAACAGCATTTTGTGTTGGTCCTGCGAGACGGATCTTTTATTTGGCGGAAGCCCTTCTTGGCAAAAGCACCGTTAGTAGAATTGTCCACTGACGAGGAAAAACTGCTTGACTTGAGATTTCAATAGCAGATTAGTTTGCAGGCATCAGTCGGTGCAACATTCAAGGCAAGAGATTTAACACCACTTAATACTGCAAAACAGATGTGCTAAAAACAACTGGAATAGGCTAGTACTAAAAGTAATACCTTACCTGTTGGTATTAGTGCTTAGGGAAACAGCTCATTTTAATTAGTTTAGGATCCCATATCCCATGAAACTAGAAAAATTCAGTGCTCGCCTTTGTAAAGTTGTTGCCAGTCAATAGAGAATTGCCGAGTGAGATGGACCAATGAACTGACTTCTTATAAGCAGCTGTCTACCACAGCAGCTCAACTTGCCTGATAATTATTGGTGAGATACATCTCTCTTTCTGTGACATGCCTCACTTTTATTCTGGGGTTTTGCAATGTGTTCTGCTTCCTTACCTTGTATTGTCTTTATACACATCTGATAGTAATTATTATGGCAACCATGCTGAAATTGGTAGATACCTAATGCACATTCCTCTGCTATCCTGGAACATTAGAGAATTGCATGTAATAAAGCAGAGATGGAAATTGTGCAGCCATCAGTGGTTTTTGCGCTGCCCACTAGAGTGCCACTTCTTGGCTGAAAAAACATCCTGGCAAAAATGGTGAAGTGTGCCTCTACATGCCTTCTCACCTCCCATTAAGTGCTCTTCTCTCCCTGCACCTTGTTTGGATCCTCCAGTGGCAATGAAACCTTTCCAGGGTTATCCAAAGGAGAGGATATAATTTTCAAATCCTCTAGTTGTCCATCTTTTCATTAGAGAGACCCAAAGCCAGTTACAACACTCTAGTTTGAGCTGAGAATAAAACCCGTGGGATAATACTTCTAGTAGTAGTGTTATCTCTATTCTGTTCACTTTTCTCTTCATATGTGTATCTAAGCAGCAGATTTGATTAACTCTACAAACTGCTAGCTATCTCAGTTTTGTTCTTGAGGTGCTTCAATTAACTCAAGTTTTTTGTGTGCTCCATTTCTTAGGCTGGATTTGGCTATGGGTTACCTATATCACGACTGTATGCCCAGTACTTCCAAGGAGATCTGAAGCTCTATTCTCTAGAGGGTTATGGCACTGATGCTGTTATCTTCATAAAGGCATGTCATTTACCATCAGTTTTGACCAGACTTGGTGCCTTTTAAAATGCAGACTCTATGGAAATTTATAGTAACACTGCCCCTCTTCTTTCCTCTCTAAAGGCTTTATCAACAGAATCTGTTGAAAGACTACCTGTGTATAACAAATCAGCCTGGAGACATTACACAGCAAATCATGAAGCCGATGACTGGTGCATCCCCAGCAGTGAACCAAAAGACATGACTACATTCCGCAGCGTATAGCAGGATGTGGCAGATGTGCCAAGCTCAAGACAAACTTTAGTACAGCAGTTCATGCAGTACTGTGTGAATAGGGCTTATTCCATTACATCTGTAACACTTCGTTTTGGGAAGCAGTGATTGCCACAAAACAGGAGTTAGAAAACCATGTTTTTGTTTTAGAATATAGTGCAGGTTGCATTTTGAAAAGTGAATATTCTAAATGTATTCCAACCCTTCTAAAATTGCTTCAATAGATGAATCTGGTGCTCAACATCTAGATTAGATACAAAAAAAAGTAGTGACAGATTTTTCAAATATTATACTATTTAACTACCAAAAATTCTAATGAAACGTTAATGAGTATTTTGTAAACCACCTCTGAAATTTAATTGCACTAGCACAGCACTTTCTTCTGAAGAACTCAAAAAGTGCTTTACAATATGAGAGATATTAATAATTTCCATCCATTTATGTCATTTGGTATTTCTTGGAATCAGTTTCTTCTTTCTAGTATTAGTCAACAGCTTTGTTTCAGCTTTAAAATCTGCACATTCCGGCTAAAATTAGGAGTGCTTCAGTCCCATTACTTTTAATTGGAAGGTTAAGCATGGCCAGAATCCTGTTGGGCAGTCATCTGTGCAGATTTACATACTCTTGATTGTTCCATATTCATGATCCCTACATAGTCCCTAGGGACCCTGAAAATCCCCCGGAATGGTTCAGCAGCCATTGCAATCAATGAGGCTCTATTTCCTTGTTTGATTGGGAAGCAGCTGTTGTCTGTTGTAGCAGATTGCTCATAAGGAAATGACAATGCCATCAGCTACTTCCCAAGTGATGAGAGGAACAGATCGCCATTGGTTGTGGTGGTTACCACCTGATCAGTGAGGATTTTTTTTCCTGGGGGGGGGGGGATGATCAGGATGGGAGTCACTAGATTTAAATCTCTTATCGCTAAAATCCACATTGATATTTTATGTAGAGCCATTAATTAGACATTTTCATCTGGAATTCCTGAATTGAAAACAGGGCCTAATTCAGCCAAAATTAAAAGTTGTTAATTTTTGCTTGATCAGGTCCTGTTTTCCACCTCAGGAATTTCAGATGAAAATGTCTATAACTTGTGGCTTTACATAAAATATCATGAAATATCAAATAAATTGGGTTTTTAAAAATAATATTTGCTTCTATAGAGCTTGCCCAGAAATAATCAGTTGAAACTTTCCCCTCAGCAGAAACACTTAACCACTGATATGACACCTCGAACAGTGGAATCAGCATGTAAATTTAGTGGTATTTCTACCTAACCGGTTACAAATTACAACTTTTCTCTATCTGTTGTAGAGGTTTTAAAAGTGCTTCTGTTTTTACTGATCTTATTACTGCTTTCAGAAAACTCAGGAAAATTCTGATTAAAACCCTGCCAATCTCTAAATTGAATGCCACTAACTCTTGCAGTAGGTTTTGCAAAATACAACATGGTTGAAGACAGTTTGGCCACTATGCTTTGACCTCTGCTTGTTATATATTAGTTTCTTTGTATGTATATTGACACCGTTTCTCTTAAAATACTGGTTACAGCTTATTTTTCCTTTAAAATTGAATGCTATTTCATCTCTCAAAATTCTTTTCAGAAATTACATTGCTTCAGCCTGTTGCTTTCATACTTATTAAACACTGCTTATGCGCTCACCGTCTCTTTCCAGATAAGCTAAAGTACTAATATTAAATCAACTCCTTTCAATTGAGTTGGTTTCTCAAGTGGCTCCTGACACACACACAAAAATTGAGTTCGGTAGAATTCTGATATTTGACAGTGCAGTATTGTTGTCATAGTGACAGAGCACAGTCCTCCATGTCTAATCAGAAGTGGGGCTTCCAGACTGGTAAGGGATTTCAGGCTACATATGGCAGTCCTAAAGTGTGTTCCAAGAGAATAGCACCCATGGAACGCAGTGAGACTAATGCATGGAGTAAGTAGGCACAAGGTTGTAGTCAAGTGAAACTAATTACAGAACTGCAAAGAAAATTAGTAAGTGGAAATTAAGCATAAAACATAACAATTGTAATTGCTGACAAGACAGTCAGTGCAAGGGGTATATAAAATTTACAAGCCCAGCTACAAATCTATAGAGCTAATTATGTTGCGGCACATTGCTGTACAATGATTATATTCATAATCTCTCTCATCTTGACACATATAAAATCTCAGGTCCTGTGACTCTTTCTCAGGTACAGTACTTCTGTCCAGCAATGTGATAATCAAGATGGAGAAGATCCCTACGATTCTTCCTCTTTTCTCTCATGCCCTCTGCTGCTCACAATTGACTTCTAACTAGCTTTAATTCATCTCCTCAATAGCAGTGATTGACTTTATCACTGGTTGCTGGCATGTCCTTAAAGAAATAAAGAATGTAATTTTACCTAGTTTGCACTGAGTAGATATACTGAATCAGTAGGAACACAGAAGGCAACATTTCCCTAAGACTAATGGATCTACTTTAGTAGGACACAAAGGTATATTCAGAATAGTGTCTTAGGCCATGTTCTCAAAAATATTTTATTTATGTAAAACAACTCATTGAAGAGCAATAGCAGTGCCAAATTAAATGTTTAGGTGTGTGGAAATGGGCAGGGGAGACAGAATTGCAGAACCGTTTCTTATCCATTTTATTGTATGAGACGCACCCACATAAATAATTAGAATGGAGTGTGGGTTTAGTAATAGAGGCTGGAAGCCTCTTGGTGCACAGCATTGATGTTTGTATTGTTTCCTCATGTAGCAGCGGTAAGGGAAGGCCTGCTTAAAGCTCCCTATTTCTCCAACTCCTTTGCTTATTTCACTACTATTGTTCTTGCATTCTTTTTCCTTCTGCCACTACTCTCTATACTGCTGTAGTTGTTTATGTGTGGTGCACTGACAAAATTCTACGTCCAATGTGTTATACAGAAGAAGGTTCCCTCTATTCCAGGCTCAGATTTTTGACATGCTCGACAATGTAATCATTTTGGGGTGAAGGGAAGGAGGGGGTGGATTTGCCATCCAGAATGAAAGTACAGTTCCAGCATTTATAATTAGGATTCTAGCCCTCCTCTACTGAGTGCAGCCTTATCTTAAGTTTGAAAATAATATGGACAATCTCAAAATGAACCCAGCAACATTTGCATTGGTATTTAGATATACATTGTCCTAGCTAGATCAAGATATCAACAATAATTACCGGAAGTTATACTGTAAGTCATAGATTTAATAATTCCAGGCATTTATTTGCTGTTATTTTGAAGTTTTATCCAAATAATACAGTATTTCAGAAAATACAATTTACAATGCACCTTTACACGCATTCACTTGCTGCTAGTACTAAGACTAGATTTCAAAATTTGCTTATGGCTGGAAGAGTACAATGGAAACTTACAGAAGACATTTTGTAGATTTTTAATCTTCTACTGTGAAAATAATTTTGGTTTGCAAAATGGATTATAGTGATTTTTGTAAAAAAATAAAAATAAAGTAAGCATTTTTAAATAAAAATGAGACTTCTAATTTATTGTGAGATTACCTCATGCCGTTTGCTTACAGGTACTGTAAGAAAGGAAGAAAAATACAGGAACTATGTACTTGAGAAAAAAAATTAGGTAGTCACAAAGGGAAAAGTGGATTCCTTGTCTGAACAACCCAGAATGCACCTTCACATTAATTATAACCAAAATGGGTCATTTGAGGAGAAAGCCATGCATTTAACACTTTTAATGTGATTTTCTTGCTTCTTGGCAGGGGGTTGGACTGGATGGCCCATGAGGTCTCTTCCAATTCTATGATTCTACTCAAGCCCCAAAAGACTCCTAGGGGATAGTCACTGCCTTCTGCTTCCTAATGAACTCCTGAAACATTCTTCTGTCAAAGATGACATCCATCAATCTACGATCTGGAGAATTAAGGCAGAAGGTATAATCCATGGGTGCTTGATGGGCTTACCAAGTGTGTGGTGCTGGATGCAAGTCTAGAGACACCTAATGTGCAGATATTGTTTCCTGGATACATGAGATTCAAAAGAAGAGTTCCACAAGATATGGAATCTCTTTTTTTTGGTGACAGAAGTGTCCCAAATTGTAGATGTGAAGGACAGGACCTGGAAAGAAGTTTCTTGTCATGTTGAAGACACCCCTTCCAAATTGTTGCGAATCCAATTTTCCTAATTGACAATTGCCTTTCTTTCAAACACTGTATCATCTGAAAGAAAGGCAGGCTGGGCTAGTCAACATGAAACTGAGGAATATTATGCACTGAAGTAGCTCTAAATAAGACTACTCATAATTTACAATAACCTAGACCATTCAGCAATGGAAGTATACCAAAATATTTCACGAGGATTCTGAAAATGCTCAGAGAGAATACATTTTTTTGGACACAGATATGGAAACTGTGGGTACTGTTCCCATGGATACAGAGATTGAATTACATTATTACATTTTTTTATTCTCCATGTTTAGTTGAACTCAAGTTATATAAAACATTTAAATCTTTCATTTGGAAATATTTAAAATGCTCTTATTCTTTACACTTTGTTGTTTTAACTCATTATTTATTAAAAAACCATTTTGTCAAAAGTGCATGCAGCTAACTCATATTCTATATAACAAGCACATTAAAAACTCCAAAGTTTCTCTTGTTTGAACGAAATTTATTTCATTTTTCAGAAATGTCATTTTAATGTAGTGATGTTGCTCCAAGAGCAGTTGGCAATGCTTAACACTATTTTAAAAAACAAATGCTACTCATGAAAAGGAAGACTTTAATAATCTATAGAATAATGTACAATGCAGAAACTCAATGCTTCATTAATGTTTTCTCCAACTATGCCTATTGTGGTATTATTTTAAACTTGGAAGACCAACAGTGTTTTAAAATTAGCAAAAATATAATTTTGGTCCTCAGAAATCTCAAGTAGGAAAGTGTAATGCATGTATTATAGTCTGATCTTATTCAGCACTTGAACTATAAAACCTCTATACAAAAGTGTATAAAATGGATCGGTAAACTTTGAAATCCTGTTTCAACATACTCGGCAGCTTAGAAACATAGTGTTATCTCATTTTAGAAAATAAAAAAATGCAAGTCATTAATTATATTACTACAATACATTTTGAAATTAAAATGAACTCTGGAAAATACAGTATTTTAAATGCTTCATTACATTTGATTAAATTAATTTTCTATTTCTTTTAAAAACTTAATTATTCTCTATACACTAAGGGCAGCAAACTATCTCCAACACAGCGATCTGATATTCTCTTTATACTAGATACCACCCAACATTATTTTGTAACTTATGTCAGATTCTAATGTTCAGAAACTGAACATACCAATCCCAACAGACACTTCAGGGAGTTGGAACAGTCAGGCACATATATACACACATTGCTTATGATAAAATTAATTTACTGTCTATTAGTACAAGTTAATGTTCTAAATATAAAAAATTGAAAATATTTCATTAAATGAATCATATAAATGAGGAAGGAAAAGACACTGGAGGTAAAAAAGTGTATATCGAAAAACTTGTTTCCTCCCTCCTACATTCACAATTATACAGTAATATACAATTATTACACTTCTTGAAGCTGAAGTAAGGTCAGATAAAACAAAGACAATGAAGCAGTATACTGGGGTTGCTCCACTTTAGCCCTTGAAAATGCACTGAGTACATACTTTAGCAGTTTGATTCTGCAGTGGCTATTACTTTGCCAGTTCTCCGAACTTCCTTCTCCTTCTTCTGACACTTTTCTTTCTGCTTCTCCATTTTTTCCTGTGCTTTTTTAATATCTTTAATTTTCTTCTTTATTGTTGATCGGTCATTTTGACTGGATACTCCTAGAGCCTTTAAAAGAAAAGTTACATAGCTGTATTTTCAGCAAAAACCAATTCTCTCACACCAGAAGCGACTTGCAGTTTCTCAAATCACTCCCAACACAAAAAGAAAAGAAGCAAAAACCAAGCACACTTTACTGTTGGAAGAGAATCCTCAAAAAAATGAACTTCAAAACATGTGAGCTGTATGAACAGCTACAACTAGACATCAGCACAAGGTCATCCAAATTATTTTTAATGTGTAAACTATAAAATGCAAATATGGTGGATTCTTGGTATCTGCTGGGGTTCGGTCCCAGGGCCTTCCCCCTGCTGCCACTGTGGATTTATTTATTTACTAGCTGTACCCAGCCATGCATTGCTGTGGCTCATTGTGGAGAAATGGGAAAGAATAAAAAGAGGAAGAGCTGGTTTCTAAGCTATCAATACACAACGGAAGTGGCAAAGTGTCAACCTAAGATAGGCCCATTTCAGTCTCCTCGAGGCCAAAGGGTTACATGGATGTGTGGAAGGGCCCTGGGTTACCTGAGCCCACACTGCCATATAACCCAGTTCAAAGGTATTATATAGGTATTATTATTGTTGTTGTCTTTATAGACATATAGATATTATTATATCTCTCCCACCTTATCCATGCCTAGAATTATTTTTAACTTTAATTACATTTGGCCCAGCCATAAATTTTAATTGTGTGTTGTATTACTGTCATTGTATATTGCTTTTTTGTTTTGAGTTTTATTTAATTGTTTACTGTTGTTGTTATTGCTTGTATTGATGTATTGTGGGCCCTTGGGGAGATGGTAGCGGGGTATAAATAAAGTTCATATTATTATTATTATTATTATTATTATTATTATTATTGGCATATAGATATTATTATTATAGACACAAATATTATTATTAAAGCTATATAGGTATTGGTATTATAGATGTTATTTATTTATGAATTTCATATCTAAAGCATTGCATAAATTAGTATTAAACTCATGAAAAATAGAAGGAGCACAGGGCTCAATATCTTTCGAGCAAAAACAGGCAACAGATGTATGGATATGATTACAGACCTATAGATATTATTATAGGCATATAGATGTTATTATTTTATTGTTATTTTATAGATATTATATAGGTATTATTATTATAGATGTATACATATTATTATATGTGTATATAGATATTATTATTATAGACATAGATATAGACATATAGGTATTATTGTTATTAATATTTTTTTGAGTGGAGAACATAAATTGGACTGTTAGGTGTCTTGTGTCCAAATTTGGTGCCAATTGCCCCAGTGGTTTTTGAGTTCTGTGAATAGCACAAACGAACATTATATTTTTATTTATATAGATTTATTTACTACATCTTACATAAGATCCGCATAGTAACCTACAGATGTGAGAGCTGGACCATAGGGAAGGCTGAGCGAAGGAAGATAGATGCTTTTGAACTGTGGCGTTGGAGGAAAGTTCTGAGAGTGCCTTGGACTGCAAGAAGAGCCAACCAGTCCATACTTCATGAAATTGCTCATTGGAGGGAAGGATATTAGAAGCAAAGATAAAGTATTTTGGCTACATCATGAGAAGACAGGAAAGCTTAGAGAAGACAATGATGCTGGGGAAAATGGAAGGAAAAAGGAAGAGCGGCCGACCAAGGGCAAGATGGATGGATGGTATCCTTGAAGTGACTGGCTTGACTTTGAAGGAGCTGGGGGTGGTTACTACTGACAGGGAGTCTGGCATGGGCTGGTGCATGAGGTCACGAAGAGTCGGAAGCGATTGAACGAATGAACAACATATTTTATATACTGCTGCTCTCAGCCCGCAGGTGACTCAGGGCAGTTTACAGTCACCACCAAAACCATAAAATACAATCAAAACATTAATATAACATAAATATAAAACCAAGTAAAAACAATCAGTATCAATAAAAATATGTACCACCAGAGTCTCCTTGTTAAAAGCATTGTCCAGTTACGTCATCCAGTTGTTCCATTTTCCTATGTCTGTTACACTTTATCTGCAAATGCTCAAAAAGCCAAGTCTTGACTTTTTTCCCGAAATGTTAAAAGGGAAGGGGCTGATCGGATATCCCTAGGGAGGGCATTCCATAGCCGAGGGGCCGCCACTGAGAATGCCCTGTCTCTTGTCCCCACCAGACGTAATTGTGACGATGGTGAGATTGAGAGCAGGGCCTCAGATGATCTTAAAGTCCTGGAGGGTTCATAAGGGGGGATGCGTTTGGACAGGTAAGTTGGGCCAGATCCATTTAGGGCTTTATAGGCTAAAGCCAGCACTTTGAATTGTGCCTGGTAGCAAATTGGCAACCAGTGGAGCTGGCGCAACAGAGGAGTTGTGTGCTCCCTGTTAGCAATCTGGCTGTCATCCATTGGACCATTTGAAGCTTCCGGGCAGTCTTCAAAGGCAACCCCATGTAGAATGTGTTCCAGTAGTCTATATGGGATGTAACCAGAGCGTGGACTACCGTGGCCAAGTCAGATTTCCCAAGATACGGGCACAGCTAGATACCAAAATCATGGATGTTCAAGTCCACTTATATACAACCGTGTAGTAAAATAGTGTCCCTTATATCAAATTACAAAATTAAGCTTTTTGAATTTTTAATGGAATATTTTCAAGACGGGGAAGGTTGACTGTGGA